GGGAGGGGGAGGCGCAGGTACCTCGCTGGGCGGCAGCGGCGGAGGACCCCTGGTGGCGTCGCCGGCGCGGGCCCGCACCCCATTAACGAGTTCCTTGCTTCTCTCCGGTTCGACAGGTGGACAGGGCACGTGCCTGGCCGACCTCTCGTCGGGCGCCTCGACGGGCGTGGCGAACCCGTACACGGACCGCTACCAGCAGCACCCGCACCGGCAGCAGATCCAGCAGCAGCTGCAGCAGCAGCTCCACCCCCACCACCACCTGCACCACCTGAAACAAATAGAGCCCGCCGCGGCCGGAGCGCTGGCCCTCCACGCGCACGCCTTCAACAAGCACGACCTGAGCTTCAAACGCCAAGTAAGTTTCTTCATCGACAACGTGCGCATCGAAAAGAACGACGTCGTCTAGGAGCGACGCCGGTGTTTTAAACGCCCGATCGGCGGATGATCACGGATGCGTTGATGCGAATACGTAGAAACCGAACCGGCCGGACCGTGCAGCCGGAGCCAAAGCCCAAGCGGTTAAAGGTAAACCACTGCAACTGCGGAGGCGGCTGCGGCGGCACCTGGGGATCGCACCGGAACGCAGAGACGTACGTATAGACGGATAATCGACGACCACGAGCCGAAGAGAACCCCGACGTCCTGGAGCCGTCCTCGACCCAGGATATCCCGCTGAGACGGTCGCCAGGACCCGTCATGGGATCTTCGTCGAGACGCCCCGACGCGCGACGTCTCCTTCCCTCTCGAGCCTCCCGGGGGTCCTCGACCGCTCGGCCATCCTGAAAACCTCGACCTACCCGAAGGAGGCACCCGCGCCGGGAACGCCCGGCCACTTCCGGACTTCGCGCTTCCCGGCGCGACTCCTTCTCGTCTTCCTGGGGGATGATGAAACGATCTCGAGAGTCTTCCGTGACGTCGCCCTGCGCACCCGGGGACCTCGACCCGACGGGGATCCTCGGCTGCGTCGAGGCTCCGGCCACTTCCGCGGTCGTCCGTCCGTAGAGGACGGAGACGCCGTAACGAATCCGGGGAAATACGTATATATACCTATACATATGTTTACACACGTAGAGGGTAACCGCGCGACGTAGACGCCGATGAAGATGCTTAGAGTCCTTTGCACCCTCGGCCACGGGGTCGGGGTTCGATAAAAGTTCGACCACCGAGCGTACCTAAAATTTAGGCCTTAGCTCCTGTTGACCCGTTCAGAAGTCTAAGAGAACGTTGATGTACAGAGAGAGCGATATTAATCCGGCGCGGGTGATCCGCGTTGCTTCTTACGCCGTTACGAGAAAAGGGTGCACGAGGAACGAAGAAATCTTCCGATCGAGAGCCTGAATATTTTCCTAGAAGGACGTTTTTAGGAGACGACCCGATCGCGGGGGGTCGCGTTTGTCTCTCTTCCTCGAGTCGCGGCGATATGCGTTATCGGCGAATCGACGAGATCGGAAATCGTCGATGCGCTGATTGGAACGAAAATTGTATATAGAGGAATTATCGAGGAGATTTCGTTGCGCTCGAAACGATCGTCCTTAAGGGAAGGGGGAGCGAATCGCGAAGCGGAGAGTTTCCATGATGGACCACCCGATGGAGGGATTGAGAGATCTCCCTTCAAGTCCCGTCTTTCTCTCTCTTTCTCTTTCTCTCTCCGTTATTCCGTCTTGACCTTGCCCGAGGCTCGATTGTCCTCGTCCTTTGAAACTGGCAACGAGGGGGGGACGGCGATAACAAGGACGACGACAACGGACGCGGAAAGGCCAGATGCGCCGGGGGGTGAGATTTGTATCAGGGTCCGAGATTTATCATCCGATTGTCTCAGATCGCGCGATAAGGTCGACCGAGTTGACGAAGGGGAGGACGAGGTTCGCCTTGACCTCGACAAATCGGGCGACCCTGTCATCCGTCGATTGACCTCCTTTCGGTTGGTCTCATCTCTCTGTCATCGACTACGCCATCCGCCATCTTCCCCCGATCCTTCGACCTCCATCAACCTCGACCTATTCGCTCACAAATCCGCCATCTTCGCTCTGTCCATCTCATCGTCCGAGTGATCCGAATCATCCGCAACGGTTCATTCGCCTGTCTCTTTACCTCCTACCAACCTGTACGACACAGCATCCCATTCACTCTGCTCTTCGAGGACGCGATCACCGATTAATCATCCCGCGTGACCGACGACCGATCACCCGATTAGAAACCGCTGATTGTCCAACACCGAACCCGACTTCTCTGCTCTAAGCGTTATTTCGCTTGTCAAGCAATAATCTGCCTGCCAGAAATCGATCCGCCCGTTAAACGTCAATGTTCCTGTCAAGCGGCAATCCCGCTGCCAAGTTATCCTCCTTCTGTCCCGTCGTAACCCTCCCTTGTTTATTCTCTTCCTCCCTCTCGCCTCCAGGAAAGGACCCAATATCTATTTGCTCGTCCTTGCTTTACGGGTGTTGCAAGGTCTAGCACGGAAAGCCAAGGGAGCCGAAGTCCCCGTTTAACGGGAAACGTGCTAAGCCTCGAAACTGCCACGATTCGACACGTCCCCTCGTTATTCCCCTCACGCAACGGCCGTCGTTATGTCAGCACTCCGTTTCCAGCATCCGACCTCGTCCCGACTTAAGACACGCACGATGCATGATCATCGCAGCAGTGCACGAAGCTTCTCCGTCTCTCTTTTGCTCCCGTTGTCGTCTATTCTCTCGCCCCCGCTAGTCTGCCCCAGCTTGAGTCTAGTCCCGTCAGCTTCGAATCAGCTTCTATCAGCTTTTGCCAGGCTCCACCAGCTCCACCGGTCCGAGGTGCGAAATCGCAAGCTCGACTTCGCTGCCTCGGGCTGCGAAGGTTCCTTTGGTTTGTCTACATTCGGGGATTCTCTCTTGGTCCGAGAGCCCGATGCTTCCCACGGTTACGGGAAGTGCAATCTACGGTGCACTTCGGTGCAATCTACGGAGGTCCTCTCGGGCCTCCCTCTTGGATGGGTGGATGGGTGGATGGGCTTCCGCCCACTCGCGATCGATTCCTAGAGGACACCCGGCTAGGGCCCCGTAGATGAACCAAACGTAACGCGAGCTGCCGCGTCCTTGTCCGCTTCGCCGCAATTAGCACGTAAGGTTTACACCTCTTAAGCTTAAGCTAGCGATAAGTCAGTTACGAAGTGCGACGCCCGACTACGTCGCTCCCTTCTTCGGGGTACCCTGAGATCCTAGAATCTGTACCCCATCTATGGGGCACCCGTGGCTTATCGCGAGGGCTCTCCGAGGAAGGGCGAGGCGCCGCATCCGGTCGTCGGCGATAAGAGCGAAAAGTATTAAATCTGATGCCCGGTATATTCTAGCTTTCGGAGGAGGTAAGGATATCTCGCCCGATGAACATGCAGCACTTCCCGTATCACGTTCCTCCTTCAGTCTCTTCGTCGGTGTTCTCCACGTTGTAACTTGCGGAAAGTTTGTTGTAATGCTCCGTAGTCTCCGAGGAGTGCTCGCGCGACTGTCATCGAGTCTCATCCGCGAATCGCCTCATGCGACGCTCTCATGTTTAAGAACGCTCCTGCGGCGCGGCCGCGCGGCCGCGCGCTCTCTCTTGCCTCTACCTCTCTGTATCTCTCTGTATCTGTCTGTCTCTGTCTCATCGCCCGAATCATCGTAAGCCCCGCCGAGTGTCCTCATCGTATCTCTCTCATCCGCTAATCTCGTCGCCCACGTATATACATCCGTATGTCGATATGTATACATCGTATCGCGTACATATCTTGGGTGTTACGTAATTAATGACGTATCGATTCGTATTACGTAGTTGGCAGTCGGTAGATGCTCGCGCCTTCGGGCTTAGAGAGTTTCATTCATCTTCCCGAAGGCTCTTCGGCGTCATCCACCATCCGAAAAGAGGCGCTCGCTCGAGAGAGCGAGGCCGCGTGCCATGATCTCTGTTTCTTGGTCATCCTCTGTCTTTCCACCGCTCTGTATCTCTGTCTGTCTCTGCCTATCGAGCGAAAGGCGTCTCCTGGCGGTTCCGACAGGATCCGGTGTCCTGGACCAGTCCGGATGCTGGGGATGCCCAGGAACGAGGCTCCGGGTCTTCGACGGAACGAATTCAAGTTTCTCGCGTAAATCCAGTAATTCCTCCCGAGGAATCTTAAGAAATTAGTAAATCCCCCGTCAATCGTGGCGGATGTATTTGCTGCATGCGACATGTTTGATAATTTCTAATTTCTATTTAATTCCTCCGGCAATGAGATCTAAGATCCGGTCCATCGTCGAGAGCCTCGTCCGGGCGCACCCCCTGGACGTCGGCGAGGGTCGGATTTGGATCCTTTCCTCGGACCTCCAGGCGCGTCCTTTGGAAGTCTCCGTCTGTCTATCTGGATGTTCTAGCTAGATCTAGCTCTACACGTATTGTGCTTTCGGCTCGCGACCTGGCTCCCCGGCTTTGTCAGGCCGGGGTGTCCTCCTCGCGGCCGACCACCCACGCGCGCAAAAGCTACCCCAACAAGTAGAAAAGTACCGAGCGTAGGTAATGTACTCGCTGATATGAACTGACTACCCAACTACTGTATACTGATACTCGGGGACCAGGAGAGCGAGCATACCCTGACACACGACACACCCACAGACCGGACCACCTGCGGTCTGCGACACGTTGTACCTCTCGATGGTCTGCCGCTCTGCATGCTTTCGAGCCCTGCCCGAGCACGACGACGATGCACCCTCTCGATCCTCACCAGGTCCCGGCACTTTGGCGGAGCCGACAAGACGCACCCCCCGGAGAAGGGGTTGCGTCCTCGTGGGGAGGGGACCACACGAGGGGACTTGGGCTGCGAAATTGGGGACCCTGGACCAGACCAAAAGACCCGGTAAGAGTGTTCTAGGGTACTTCAGGGTGTTCCGAGAGCCGGAGAACCCGTCCTCGTGCTCGGACATGGTGGAAGACCAAAGCGCGAAGCTGTCGTTACCCTCGCTCGGCCTCCACAGGCGCCCTTACTGATTTCGCCCGGACGGCGACTCTTTTCGCAGCTGGATGAACTCAGGACGGAAGTCCAACGGCGGGACCAAGAGATTCTAGCCATGTCCGCGAAGATGAAGACCCTGGAAGAACAGCACCAGGACTACCAGAGGCACATCGCCGTGCTCAAGGAGTCCCTCTGCGCCAAGGAGGAGCACTACAACATGCTGCAAGCCGACGTGAGGACTCCACCGTGTGTGGTACCTTGACGCGGTCGCGGGATCATCGGATTCGATCGGTTCATCGGGTCGTTCCATGAGTTAGAGAAACTTTACCCGAAGTAAACTTTTTTTTACCGACAACTTCTTGCTCGAATCCTAAAAAAATTACTCGCGATCTCGTGGAACGGCTCATCCATTGGACATCCGTGATGATCGCGAAGGGAATTTTCTGGGGAATTGTTGGCGAACATCTGCATCTTGCGAGCTTCCATGTCGGACCGGGTCGAAGGGTCGATTTCATATTGGGGTAGGTCAATGGGAGCTGCCGAATATAGGTCGGGGCCGTTGCGCGCGTTACGCACCTCCCTCGGTGCGTGCCCGAGATACATCGGTACATCGATAAGTGGGTACATGGGTACACCCGTACATGGGTGTCTCGTTACATGCCCGAAATCCTGCCTCGAGGTCTCGGGAAATTCGGAGAGTCCCGAAGATCGGCCGACACGGTTCCTCCTTTTAATTTCACTTGCCAGGTGGAGGAGCTGAAGCAGAGGCTGGAAGAGAAGAACCGCACGATCGATAAGAAGACCCAGGCGGCCATGCAGGCTTACCAGGAACGCAATCGTCTCAGCACCGAGCTCACCGAGATCAAGGACCACATGGACATCAAGGATCGCAAGATCAACGTCCTCCAGCGGAAGGTGAGTCCAATCTTCGGCATTCATCCCGTTCTTCGGGGTCCGGGTCACGATCCACTCTGCATTTTTAACCCCCGGATAAAACGGAATTCCCTATGCATATGATCCTCCGGATGGGAATAGAGGATTCGCGAAGTGGGACATGCTAAGAAAAGTCGTTCCCACCTTCTCTCCCCGTTCCCCGTGAATGTTTAATCCAGGACAGGTCGAACGTTCCAAAACCATGGATGCCAAAACTCCACCTCCTGGACTTTACCTCCTCCCCTGGATAAACTAGATTCCAAATATTCTCCCATCTCGAGAGAGAAATCCCGTTTTGTCCCATCTTTATTTTAAAGGCACCGTAGATATTGGGTCGTTCCCTAAGTTCAAATTGACAAGGCTCGGAAAAATGTATTGGAAACGAGCCGTTAATTAATAATATATTCTCAGGTCCATTTTCTCACTTTTCGTCCGATTTCCGGCAGTTCTATTTTAGTGGGAAATTATTTTCGAATGAATTCGTCAGCGAATTTATGGAACAACCCGATGCTTCCCGCGGGAGATGGAGATGTTCTCCGGAGTAAAGACGTTCCCCGTGAATTTCGAGCAGTGGCGCAACTTGGAAATAACTTGGCCTCTGTATGTACAAGAGGAGACGACACGGATGCTGTGTGCCAACACTAATTCCGTCTGTGTACCCAGGCAGATCCGTGTTTTCTCCTCGTGGCCTGCCTTGTCGCTCGATTCCCTCCAGGGGGTGCAGCCGACGTTAAGGGCGGCTCTGCCCTCCGTCACGTAGTTGCTCGTTACCTTCCATGGCCCAATTTAATTCCACTGTTCAGACTGTTTGTCCACCGGAAGGAAGTTTCCTCTCGATCGAGTCGCAACGATCCGCTCGGTCGCGAATCGCTTCTTTTCGCTCGAGCTGAACGTAAGGCTCCGTCGCAGTGGGCGAACCCCTTCGTTAAACTCGTTTACCCACGCTATCGCGTGCCCGGCAATTCCCACATTGATTATTTCAATATGTCGTTGTCAACCGTACCGACTTTCCATTTGACAATGAACACCAGGGCGTACGGCAAATCTGCGAAACCTGCGAGATATTTTCCCATGCTTTCCGATTTTTTTCCCCTATTCTCGCCATTCTCATTCCGGGCTAAAAAGTAGGAATTTACTGCGAGGCGTCTTTAATTATATGGCCTGCGTTTTGTTTGTTCGTTAATTATTTTACCTATAAATTATGTTATTTAGGTTTAAGTTGCGCTTTCGTGTAGGCGTTTATTTGCGTTCCTAGGCTTGGATTATTTTTATTTACCTTTGTATCCCTTTTTTACAGGAGAAATAAAGTTATAAGCTCTCGAGTTATCTGGTGCCCGTTAATATTTGCGAATTAGTTCTGAAGATTATATTTATTTATCGCGCGGAGAAACGTTTCTTTTCTCCCTCTGGCGGTGAAGATTTATCATCGGCGGAATGTAAGACGTCTTCTGCAATTTTTATGCCACGGAGCGAGGAAGATGGCGCAGCTCAGACTGCAGGTCTTCCGTCCGTTTCTCGTTCCTTCTCTTCCGTTTACAGACGAATAACAAAGAATATGGACTCGCGCCAACTCGCGTTTCCGTCACGTATAATTCGGGCTTAACGGGCAAATTAACACGGTGAAAACGAGCGGCTTGGGTCGCTGCAATATTGTTGCGACGAAGCTCGCCTTAATACCTGAAGCAACGAGCTAAATAGGTACGTAATCATTCACTGAGAGAGGCTTAATTTCACTTTCCTTGGCTGCGGTTAACAATTTTTCTCCTACGTCCATTTTACCTCGACCGAATTTCTTAACATGCCAAACTGTGAAATATTACAAGCATGTCACTAATATCGACATTATCAACATCTATCCGCTATCTCCGCTATTCGTGAAATCCTCTGAAATTCAATATTTTAAATTCTGCGGACTAACGAGAACGTCAAGGAAAAAAATAAAATGGCTGCATTTTGCGCGCAACGGAGGTGACCTGGAATAAAAAATAAGGAAAAAATCGTACAATTTGCGTTTTCATTTTGTGGAAGTTGTAACGTGCAGGAACAGTGCCAGTGTTCGGAGAGTCCCTTTCTGCTGTCACTGTGACGTAAATTCAAAGTGAAAGATATTTTTTTTTTTCGAGCTAGCTCGTTCACATTCACACCCGGGGCAACTATGCAAGGACTTTTGATTAAAAATTCCCATTGAGAAATATTGCGTTCACACGTTCTTTCTGCCTGGTCTTCATTTTCTGTTTTTTATTCACCTTAACACCGTTAACTTACCCTTCGCTTATTAGAATTGCTCCTCATTAAGGCTCCAGGAATTTTCAGCAATTACTCCGTCCAAATTTCTAATAAAAATCTGAGATTAAGAAATTCATTATCAGGAATGCTTTTCGCCCCAACTAATCACTAACACTTTAAAGAGCCTCGAATCGTCCTGAACCTATCCTTATTAACCATGATACGATAAAAATCAATATCTCCATCTTAATAATAAATTTCTCTATTATCATCCCCTTGTCACCATCACTAACACCTCGAAGACAACCCTTTCAATCCTTCCCTCCGATTCCGGGATCGATAGAATCGGACAGATGACGGGGATTAACGCAATATATTTTGGCGGATCACTCAGATCGAGAACCTGGAGGACCTCCTGAAGGAGAAGGACAACCAAGTGGACATGGCCCGGGCACGTCTGACCGCGATGCAGGCGCACCACTGCAGTAGCGAGGGTGCGCTGAGCAGCCTCGAGGAGGCCATCTGCGACAAGGAGAAGCAAATGGCGCAGCTGCGGGAACAGAGGGACCGCGCCGAGCAAGAGAAACAGGAAGAGAGGGAGTTGCACGAGAGGGAGCTCGCCGAATACAAGATGAAACTACACGCTCTCGAGTCCGAGGTGAGTCCTGCCCGGAGGAACAACCGGTACTCCGGTGCCTCTCCGCACCCCTCGAAGTGTGATAAGCTCAGTGATATAATCGCGCGATACGAAGGAGGCAAATCAACGGAGTGAATAATCTTCGTCCGTAACATAAGTCCTGAAATTCAATTAAATATCGAACAGTCGATCGAGGAGTCGATTTTCGGAATATTTCCAGTGGTCTCGTTTTAGGGGCGGATCGACCTGAATTTTTGCATTTAAAACTTTTTTTTAAAATGTGTTGGTTTGGGCGTCGGGATTTTTTCAGTTTTTCGAAGATTTGGTGGACCCTTTGCAGAAGGATGTGACGTAAGAACCTCGGGGAGGAGAATTGACCCTTTTTTCGCGGACGTTCAAAGGGACGGGTCAGGGTTAGAAGGTGTTGGTGATCTTGCCTGTCGCGATCCGATGCTTTCAATCTACGTGTATGCGAACTGGGTCATATGTGACTTCGGAACGCTCCGGGGTTACCGGGATGCAACTAGGTCGCTTTTTCGGATACACTCGACTATTAAATTTACGAGGACGTGATCTGAAAAGGGAAGACCCACTAACGGATTTTAATGGAGCGCTTATCGGTCAGATGATTCTCGGAGTGGAAAAGAATCCAGGAACTTATGCCATATCCAGTGGAAGATATCATTCGTGATATCCCATAAATTTTTCTCAGCCCTCTCCGCCTAACTTTTCAACTTCTTAATTCAACTCGACTTACATTCAAGATATACTCTGAAAAGACATTAAACCTTTAAAAAATTCGAAAAATAAAAAAGAAAAGCACCAACTATTGCCGCTGAATTTATTCTCTTCGAGTTTGCTGTCTTTTTTTCCAAAACGCCCAAACCAACAAAAATTTAAACGATTCGGTACACTCATTTCGGAGAAAAGTATCGCGGTCTTTAACGCCACTTTCGTATCACCTTAATTCCCTCGGCGAAAGCAATCACTTTTCCGAAGACCTCCACTTATCGGCGCCCTATCGCGAGCATCCCTCGAAAATTCATCCCTGTGAACGCGTCGCACTCGTTTCCAGGTGGAGAAACTCGGCGCGCGATTGGAGAGGGCTCAGGCCGAGAAAGACCGTCTCGAGGCGAAGCTCGAAAGCTCTCAGTCGGAGCTGGGGAAAAGCAAAGCCGAGCTCGATAAGGCCGCTTCCGAAGTTGGTCGAAGCGGAGCCGACTGGGAAGCTGCGAAGCAGCGATTGGCGAGGTTGGAGCTCGAGAACGAGAGGCTGAGACACGACCTCGAGAGGTCTCAGACCACCTTCGGCAGGAGCACCCTCAATTCCTCCCAGGAGATCGACAGGATCCAGGAAAGAGCCGAAAAGGCCTCCTCCGAGCTGAGGAGGGCTCAAGCCGAGCTGAGGGTCACGCAGGCTGATAACGAAAGGGCCAGGGCCGAAGCCGCGGCCCTGCAGGAGAAGGTAAATTGGCAAGATCTGCCAAATCTGTCGGATCTGCCAAATCCGGTAGATCGACAGAATTATTCGGAGCCTCTGGAAAGGATCGACGTCCCCGCTGATAAGCGATAAGCACCGCTTCTCCCCGATTACAAACCCACCGAGTCAATTATTACGGCAATCATCGACATCTCTTAACCCAGCAGGCCAATCGAAGAGCTCGCCGGAAGTTTTAATGCGCCCTTCATTAGGTACTTAACGAACGCGTATCAAGTGACTGGCTATCATGAACGGGCGAGTACGGGCACAAGTGTCGCTGATAACCGGTATCAGCTGCACTTATCCCGGTAACGAGTTCATTCCCCGCGATGCCCATAAACCCATCGAAGCCCCTCATAAGAAAGCTCCTCAAAAATCTAACAAAAAGCCTCTACCGTCTCTCTTATCGATCTTTAACATCTCGCTACATAGAACCATAAAATTTCTAAAAATCTTGCAATTGACTCTGTCATTTCCAGAGGCTCACTTTCTACACTGAGAAAAAACTGTCATCGAACCAAAGAAATATTTCTTTGAATGGAATCAAAGAAGTACTTTCGTTAATGCAAAGAATAATTATTTCCCTGAAATGAACCCGAATAAACTGAATGCTGAATTCCTTCGGAATTATGACACTTCATTTGAGTCAACTTATTTTTTGAATTAACAAGATTTTTCTTTGGTACCATTCAAAGAAAAATTTTTTTGGTTCAATGACATTTTCTTTTTTCTCAGTGTATCTTATGGCGCGAAAATGTGCACCCTGGGAGGCTCTAGGAATTTCATTCAAGGTTAAATCATGTAATAAGGTTGAGAAGAGCCAAGGGGAGGTCTATAGACTCAAGGCCAGGCTGGAGAACGCTCAGGGCGAGCAGGAAAGTCTTCGAGAAGAATATGATCGAGCCCAGGCTGCAGTGGCCAGACTTCACTCCGAGAGGGAAAAAGCGACGGCCGACCTGGAGAAGGCCCAAGAGGAGCTGGAGCGCACCCAAGCCACCCTGGGGAAGGCCCAGCTTCAACAGGACAAGCTACAAAATTTGCTCGACAAGACCCAGAGCGAAGTCGACAAACTCCAAGAAAGGTTGGACAAGTCCCAGGCCGAAGTTCGCAGGGTGAGCCTCTTTAACGATTGCCAAAATCCGACATTCTTGGAATTCCGAGCAAAGCACGTGGTCGAACTGTCAACGAGACCGTCGAGACACGTACTCGGTGTCTGCGGGCTCTCGATTGCGGTGTCACCTGAAGGAAGGGTTGCAGGGTGAGTAGTGAACTAAAATGTTAATTACGCGTTGTCGCCTGCACATTTAGATGCAAATGGAAAAGGAAAAGCAGAACTACGACTTCGAGAACGTCCAGAGCCAGCTGGACAAGGCACTCGGTCAGTCCACGAGGATGCAGAAGGAGAGAGAGGCCATCGAGCTGGAGTTGGATCGTCTTCAGGACAAATACGAGAAAGCTCAGGTGCGAACCGGGGTTACCGACTTACGCCATCTCGGTTGCAGTTCCTTTAACAAACCTCCCGACACATTTGCTCTAGACAATTTGCTCTCGGCGGTTAAGTCGTTACGCGCGTTCCCATTACCAGGTGCCGCTAAGAACTCGAAGAGGATTAATTCCAAGTATTTCGCCCCCACAGATGATCATGCAACGACTGCAAAAGGAGCGAGATAACTTCCAGGAGGAGATGGAGAAGCTGCACGAGAGGATAGAGCTGCAGCAGACGCAGATAGCGAAGATGCAGCGAGAAAAGGAGAACACTACGTCCGAGTTGGATCTGGTCAAGGAGAGATGGGAGAAGGTGCACAACTCCCACCAAAAGCTCACCGTAAGTGCGATACTTATCAAAGATATTTACTTAATATGCCCCATAATTTTTCATAATTTTCACATTTCACGTCACCATTCTTCTCGTTTCCGGGACAGCTGGAACGCGACGACGCGCTGACGGAGGTGGAGATCCTGAAGGAGAAGGTGGAGAAAGCCCAATACTCGCTTACCAAGGCGCACGAAGAGCGAGAAAACGCGAACAAGGAATTCGAAAAAATGCTGGAGAAGTACGACAGGTAACGATCAAACGAAACGTTATTATTTTCCCGTGTAAAGTCGCTCGAATCGTTTTCATCCCTCTCCCTGTACGCCCTGTGTACGTCTTCGGCGAAGCGACCACTGTCGAGAGGAAGCAGCGAAATCGAGTCGATTTTCTGTCCCAGGGCGCAGAGCGAGGTGTATCGACTGCAGAACCGCATCGAGGTGATGGAGGCCGACAAGGACCGGCTAGAGCTGGAGGCAGAGAAGCAGCAGATGCTGGCATTGAAGGGTCGAGAAGAGGCTCGAAAGGCCCAGGAGGAGCTGGCCAGGGTGCAGGAGATGTACGACCGGGCGGCGCTGCAGCTGGGTCGGACGAAGGAGCACGAGGAGAAGTCGAAGGAGGACCTGGATCGGCTGGCGGTAGACCTGGAGATGGTACGGGAGCGGTACGAAAAGTCGCAGATAGAGCTTCGCCGGCTGCAGAATGAGCGCGAAAAGCTGGTAGCGGACAACGAGCGGGTGAGCTTCGAGCTGGAGCGAGCGCACTCGCAGCTGGCGAAGGCCCAGGCCGCCACGGAGAAGACGCAGGAAGAGCTGGCGAGGATGCAGCTGGAGATCGAGAAGATGTACGAGAAGCACGACCGGCAGCAGGCGGAAGTGCGGAAAGCGCAAGCGGAAGCCGAGCGGGCGCGCGCGGAGGCGGAGAGCGCGCGCGAGGAGAGCGAGCGATACGCCGCTCGCTTCGGGAAGTACCAAGAGAGTCAGGAGCGCCAGAAGGAAGACTACGAGCGGACGAAGCTGGAGGCCGAGAGGCTGCGCGACCGGCTGGAGAAGGCGCTGGCAGAGCTGGACCGAGCGCGCAAAGCGGAACAGGACGCCTCGAGATTGCGCGCCGACCTGGAGCGCGCGGAGGGAGTGCGAGGTAAATACCAGTACGAGCAGGAGAAGTGGCAGAGCGAGGGCAGCAGGTTGCAGCAGGAGGTCGAGAAGCTGCGAGAGCGGCTGGAGGGCCGGGAGGCCGAGCTCAAGTGGCAGCAGGCGAACGGGGCGCAGCTGGAGACGATGCTGCACGAAGCTCAGCTGCAGCTGGAGCGCGCCCGGGAGGAGGCCGGCAAGGCGACGGCCGCGCAGGAGCGGAACCGCGCGGAGATCGAGCGGGCGCGGATCGAGGCGGAGAAGATCAAGGACAAGCACGAGAAGCTGCGAGCCCGGTCGGAGGCCCTGGAGGCGGACAACGAGAAGCTGCGCGTAGAGATCGCTCGGCTGGAGCGGCTGATGCAGACGGAGGGCAAGACGCGCTCCGAGAGCGCGAGCATCGAGGTCGAGAGACTGCGAGCGAGCCTGGACAAGGCGATCGTGGCTCGCGACCAGGTGGAGCTGGAGGCCGGGCGACTCGCCAAGGAGCTGGAGAAGTCGCAAATGCACCTGGGGAAGTACCAGGAGGCGGCCGACCTGGCGAAGAAGGAGCTGGAGCGGTTGACGGCCGAGCAGGCGCTGCTGCGCGAGGAGAGGGACGCGCTGCGGCAGGAGCTGCACCGGGGCCAGCAGCAGCTCCAGCAGCTGCAGCAGCAGGCGCAGCACCAGGCTCAGCAGCAAGCGCAGCAGCAGGCCGCGGCCGTCGGCGCCGAGGAGCTCGGCCGGCTGCAGCACGACCTGCAGCTCGCGCAGCGCGAGCGCGACCGCATGGCCGCTATCTTGGAGAACCGCGAGAAGCACTCGGAGAAGATCGAGAAACTCAAGGAGAAGCTGGAGGCCGAGGCCAAGCAGCTGCAGGTCGAGCGGGACCAGCTGGTCATTCAGCTGGAGAAGTCGCAGGACATGCTGATGAACTTCCAGCAGGAGCTCAATTCCAGCGAGGCCGAGCTGGAGCGGCAGCGCGAGGAGGTGCGCCGGCTGCAACAGCGCGCTCACGCGCAGACCCCGGACCGCGCCGCGAAGGAGGCCCTGGAGTCCCAGACGCGCGAGGTCCACCGTTTGGGCCAGCAAGTGCAGACGCTCACCCAGGCCCAGGCCAAGGAGCGGCAGCGCGCCGAACAGGCGGAGAAGCGACTCCAGGACGTGCAGAAGCAGCAGGCCGCCGCATCCGGACAGGAGGCTCAGCTGGAGCAGTGGCGCAAACTCGTCGAGCAGGAGAAGCTCCGCGCGGACGCCGCGGAGCGCGAAGCCAACGACCTGCAGAAACGCGTGCAGACCGCCGACCGGCAGCTGCACGCCCATCAGCAACAGATCCAGCAGATGCAGGCTAGCCTGCAGCAGTACCAGCAACAGCCCCCGGCCCAGGCCCATCAGAACGGACAGGAGGCCGCCCGAGTGCGCAAGGACCTAGAGCGCGCCCGGGAGGAGCTCAAGCAGGCTGCCGTCGAGAGAGAGCGCTTCCAGGCGCAGCTCGAGATGCTCTGCCAGGAACTCGAGAAAAATCAGGTTAGCAGGGCCTGATCGTCACTCGCCTGCCCGCCAGCCTCGCTGCTGCCTGCGCCTCGCCGCAAAGGGGACCTGCCAAGCGCCACCGATCCGCTCTCTTTTGTCACCCCGAGTATCGTTTCCTTCCCCTCGAATTGCTCTCTCTGTCACGCTCGTGTACGTATTGCCGCACTGCTCGCACTTGGATCGGCCCCGAGCAAGGGGACCGTCCCCGTGTACGTTCGCCACGCACCATTCGAGCCCAGGGGAGAAACGACGCCGAGTTGCCTTCGTTTTTTCTTATTTCTTACTTTCACATTCCATTAAGTTCCGTTGGTTTAAGTTCCGTTGCGGCTCCCTACAAGGGGATGTTTATTGGGTGTTTAACGTGTCCGCAGTTAGATTCTTCTCTTCGACATCCAGTGGACCCCCCGAGTAGGGCCGTTTTTTCGATTCTTATCATTTTTCGTGATGAGCAAAATCGGTCTCGGTCCGGACTCACCCTTAGCTTTGCAAGAGGTGCAAGGACCAGCCTGTAAGACCTGGATCGATCTTCCTCGTCGACTATGATTTTACTCTTATGATTATTTATCTAAGTACCTTATTTATTATATTTGTTTAAGTCGTTACCGTCACCGTCGAAATGTGACCGCGTTCCATCGGCGGACGTTACCATTTACTTTCGTTCATATGCGTTAAGAATAATTTCCATCGTCGATGCTACCGCGATGTCGCAGCCATTGTTGTAACCGTTGTTATTCTGAGTTGTGGTTGTACACGTAATGATAAGCAGCTAACGTGCGACCGCACTTGCCGCAGCATGCACCGCGTCGATGCACCGCAGGAGTGCATACCTTTTTCACGGCACGTTTGATTCGTCTCGTTTGTACATTTGTATCATATTTAAACATTATTCACGAGCACCGTGACGCGACGTCACCCCTTTTTTTCCGACGATGACCGTGGCCGAGCAATTTACGTCACCATTCGAGGTTGACACTCGTGACCACGGATTCAATTGCCGGGACGCATCGCGCGACCGCAGGAAATTCCATCGTCGCCGTAATTTGCATGCGTAGAGGGAATAATTAATTTGATCTACCTGTACATACGATTAATTAGGGCTGGAAAATTCGGCCGGATGCCTCGCGAACGCCGCCCCTCGATGGCGGATTTTATTCAGCTTGATTTTTCTCTTGGTCCCGGGGATCGGCTCGCCCCGGATCGCGAAGGGCTAATTTCGCAGCTCTTCGGGGTGCAAGCTGCATCCTTATCCGAGAAATGGGTTTTTTAGAGATGCTTCTGACGCAGGTGGATCTCCACGAGGCGAACAAGAAACTCCAAGCTGGAGGCGCGAAGCCTGGCGTCGACTCTAGCCAGGAGAGGAAACAGCTGGAGGACCAGAGGAGGCAGCTGGAGGAACAGAGGAAGCAGATGGAGGAGAGGGCCAAATCCGTCGATCAGAGGCATAGGACGATAGAGGAGAAAGAGAGGGCGCTTCAGAATCTCGACCAGGACTTGAAGAAACGCAAGGCCAAGATGGACCAGCTCGAGCAGCAGCTGCAGAGGGTAGGTGTCAAGGTGTTATTTACTCATGAAATGAGGGAAATTATGTGGGGATCGGATAATAATCGCCAGCATAGATCACTGGAAATCTTTGGAAATCACCGAAAAATCAATCGATTCTCGAAGGATTTATTTTCTCTGATTTCCGAATGAATAGTCCCTTGGGCTAGGTCAGACGTAACGAGAGCGAATTAGTTATTAACCTAGGTCGCTAACTCGTCATATATCCAACTCGTGAATTCGCTGTCGGCGTAGGTCGCATACTTGACGTTGACCCAGGTCGTGGGTTCGCCATTGACCTAGGTCGCGGAATCCTTTCACATGCTCGCATTACTTATGCACAGAGCGGCGGGTCGCCCGACAAAAGGCTGGCAGAGGTGCAGAAAGCTCTGGAAATCGCGGAAAAAGAACTCGAAAAGGCCAAGGAGGACTCCGGACGAAGCGCCGCGGAAACCGAGAGGTTACTACACCTCGTACAAATGTCGCAAGAGGAGCAGAACTCCAAGGAGAAACAAATCAGAGAACTTCAAGAGTAAGTCTTCCAGTATTTTTTTAGTAGTGCCATTTCTTCGGGAAATCAGAGATTAGATTTAAATTCGAAGCAAAGGGCAATGAAAAAGAGAAAAAACCTGATAACCGCCAGGAAATCATAACGACCATGAAAGACAATCATGATTCACTCCTCGACCGTGAACTTTCATCCAGTCTAATTCAACTAATTTGAGTCGAGTGAAAGTGTCGTTAATTTAAGTCAATTCTACTAACGAGGCTTTGTCCTATTACTTGCAGTGCACTAAAAGCCGCACAAGCAAAGTTAAAACAAGCCGCAACTGCACAGCAACAAGAGGTCAGTACGCTGCTTTTTATCCTTGTAATTAACCTAATAATTAATTTTGGAGCCACGTTATAAAAATGGTTTCATCAAAAATGAAAAGATAGAGTAGGAGAAATTTATTAACATTTTTCATCGCATTTAACTGACCCTTGTCTTTTCTATTTCCACGCCATCCTTGGATACCGCACGTATGACGTTATCAAATTAAAAATGTAACAATGCGTTATTATAATGGCTTCGTCATTTTTGTATTCGCTTTGCTTGAATCACTGCATTCCGAAAAAAAAATCATCGACAACGCAACGACCCCGGATTCGATTAAAAAAAAAAAAAAATACAGGCGGGACCCGCCGGATTCCTAAAAAGCTTCTTCTAAGGTCGATTTTCTTTGGGGACGCCCTCTCCATTCTTTTTAGTACAATTTGCATAAATTAATACGCGTCAACGTCGACGGCATATAATACTCGAGGAAGCGAGAAAGGCAAACGACCGACAGATATACGTCAAATAATTATTTTACTTAATGCTACGACCATTGTTAACGTATTAATAATAGCGACGATAATAAGAGTAAAACAATAATATTAATTACGGCAAGCGGATCGACAACAATAATAATTGATAACAATTTACCGAGAAGACGATAATACGTATATATGTATATACACGTAAACGAAGAACGGACATAAGATCCTGAAGAAGGATCGGAAGTTATCGGGCTTTAGATTCCAGAAATCGAAGTAAATTTTCATATAGGCGATCGGCCGATAACGAACGACTGATAACGAGCGAAATTAGCACACCTTTCCATCGTTGCGTTGCCAATTCACCGAGTAAGATGAACGTATCCACCGAATCCTTTTTTACCACAAAAATTTCTCAATGTCCGCCGTCGCAGTCATTTCTGCAGATGAGCTCAAAGCGCTTATCAAAAAGCACCCCGTAAAAGTGGTCGAATAATTTTTCCCACGATCAGTCGTCGCAGCTTCGAAATGCCCTGGACGAGGTCCAGGCCTGGAAACGGGAAACGGAGACGAAGGATCACAGGATTTCGGAGTTGGAGCGCGAGATGAGCGAGCTGGAGAACTTCCTGATGGACCACTCCGACACGGACGGCATCCTGGAGCTGAAGGCGATGGTCCAACACAAGAACTCCAGGATCGAGGAGCTGGAGGACACAGTGGCCGAGTTCGAGGACTTCCTCAGGCACAATCCCGACATGGAGCAGCTGCACGAGATGAAGTGCGAGCTGAAAGCCAGGGCCAGAAGGATAGAAGAACTGGAGAGCTACGTGGAAAAGGGCGGAGGAGAAAAGGACTTCGGGATGAGAAGAGAACGAATCTTGGAGCTAGAGGGTATGGTCACGAGACTGGAAGAGTACGTCAAGGAGCACAACGTCGACGTCCTTCAACAGAAACTTCAGGATCGAGAGGACAGATTGCAGAAGCTGCAGAGCAGGCTGGAGTTCCTAGAAAAGGATGCCACGAAGACTCAGAAAGAAGATGAGGGAGGAAAAGACAGGATCAGGAATAGCGACCAGTCGGAGAAGAGAGGGATCTCGATGGACCGTCACGAGTCCTGCCAGGATCAGAGCCATCAGGATCCTCCGGAAAAGAGGTTTCGCAAGGAGGACAAAGTCCTGGCGCGGATGGAAAGAGAAGAAGAGGAGGCGGAAGCCATCAGGAGGAAGCTGCTGGACCGCGAACAGAAGATGAAGGAGATGGAGCACGCGATGTCGGAGAAGGACAACAGGATTCAAGAATACGAGCAACAGATCGTCGAGTGGCAGGATAAGCTGACGAGGCTACGCAAAGAGATGTCCTGTCTAGAGAAGGAGCTGGGAGAGTACGAAGCCGAGGACATTGGAGTCCTCAAGGAGGAAATCAGAGTCAGAGATGAGAGGGTCCTGCAGCTAGAGGATGAGATAGATTCCCTGGAAAGGGCCTTCAGCGAGAGGATGGATCTGGAGCAAATCGAGGAACTGGTCGCCGTGGTCAAGGATAAGGAGAATCGGGAACGGGATCTGGAGAACGAACTGACGGACAAGAGCAACAGGCTGGAAGAGCTCGGAGAGGCTCTCAGAGAAAGCATAGTGATCGCCAGCGAAGGGGAGAAGAGACTCAAGCAGGAAGAGGAGATGAGGAGAACCGCTCTCGACAGGGTAAGATCCTTCGGACAGGCTGACACGTTCCGTTTCTTTTTCTTCGGACCTTTGAGAAACAAGAATTATCTAAATATTCGCAGGTCTCGAAACTGGAGCAAAGGATGGCTTCTCTTCAGACGTCCTTCGCCCTGAAGTGCCCCACCTGCCGACCGCTGCTGACCGAGCTTCAGAGAACCGAGAGGAAGCTGAAGAGACTCGCCGAAGAGAGGAAGACGCAGCTGGAGGACCTCCACGAAATGAAGTCCGTAACGCCATGCACTTCTTCGATAATAATCGCGTGCACATCTTTTCCCGAATGTCCTTTGCGAATACCTCGTCGGATTGCCATTTATCAAACAGGGTTACATTGCAATCTCTGTTCATTCTGTAGAAGGGAAGCTCTGGAAGCTGCGGTCTCGGAGAAGGACGCGCACCTGGCCTTGCTGGAGCTTTCAGGCATCAAAACCGCCGCGCAGGCTAATCAGGTTGACAAGCTGAAGGCAGACAGGAAAAGGCTGCTGGAGAAGCTGAAGGAAGAGGTAGTCTTGCCGCTTTACCCCGAAGTCATCTTTTTCCGAACCTAATGGCGAATCTTTATCCCCCAAATACCTTCCAATGACATTTTATTTTAGTATTTAATTATCTCATCCATTCCCCTCTTTCAGGACGAAAGAAGCATCGAGCTCTCCGTTGACTGGATTTCGTCGAACGCGGAATCAGCGCCTTTCCTCACGAAGATCCTCGAGCCGGTCGTAGACGTCGACGCCTGCGATGACGAAGGAGTCGACGATATCCAGGACCAAGAGGAATCTCCCACAGGACCAACCACCAACGGCAGGGCGCACGACCACGGGTGAGCCTGTTTTGACCAGGAAAAGACGCATAATCCAGAAACCAACGCGGAATTTGCATTATTTTCTTTTTACAATACTCAGACAAGCAGCGGTGGCGAGGTCGGCTTCGATGGGCACCTGCTCGACCAGCCCTGAACAATGAGGACAGATAAGTACCCTGAAAACGTACGGTATACACGTTAAAACGTTCCCCCTCGATGTTGTGCACACCGCAGTCCTAGAACCGTCTCTAGAGCATCTAGAAGCGTAGAAAAGAAAAGCTCTTCACCTCTGTGTGTTACCCATCGCTGTCGCGCGACATGTCATCCGTCCCATCATTCGCATCATCACTCCTCATGAATCACCCACCATCATCCCATCTCTCCATGTCGGACGGATCGTCGAAGAGGGGAGCTGTCTACGTAGAATGGGGGACGAAGACAGACCAGGAAGGACCCAGGACCCCCAGAAGCAAATTTGGGGTCCAGACCGACGTCTTCGAGGGCGACCTGGAGAACGACCAGAGGAAGTCCCATCGAAAAAGCCGACCTTTCTGGCCGATTTTTCTTGATATCGCGGATTAGGTGCAGGTGATCGGTCCAACCGGTACCAGATGGAGTCTAGTTCTTCACGAAGTGTACACCTCGAAGTAGCGATCGATAAGGGTTCTCCAGACACGTGGAGACGCATATCGTACACTTTCCTCCGCACCTGCGCGTCAGGACAAACTTTCTCATCGATTCTTCACCCGGGACCCGGTTGTCCTTTGCAATGTCCTACCCGTTCACCAGGCTCATCAATGGACAAGGTGGTGGGTGTCTTACTCAGTGACACTTTGCGACTTCCCAGCTCGTTATCAGCGGAGGGAACATCTGCCGACGTCTTAAGGGTTACGTTCTCCAAGGAGCGTTTGTTAGTTCTAGCCATTATACTAGCGTAGCAGTTGTTAGCAGAGGACCTGGCGAACCCGCAGAGCGGCTTCCGCGGTTTTTCTCTGGAGGTGTCTATCGAATCATCCTTGATTACTTGCTTTAATTTATCGACTAAACGCTGATAATACGTTCAGTGGGCTCGCCAGGTCCTCGGAATTCCTGAATGTCTCGAGAATCACCTGCAATCAGCGTGATGCCAATCAACTCGCTCGTTACCTCACTTAGCACCGCAGAACACCCCAGAGACCCGGAACCCCGCCGACTCTTGTTTGATCTGTTTTCTTTCTACGCGGAAACGGGCCGGAAGTGGCGCCGAATAAATGGGGAACGGCTGAGAATCGTAAGAGACGCGGCTAACGCGCTTTTCTGTTGGATTTCTCGCAATGGGTCCAAAACGATCGTCATTGATGCACCAAAACGCGATAATCTAAGGCGGAACCAGGAGATTTTGGCCGAAGATGGGAAGGGGAATCACTTCGGCCGCGACGAATGATTATTTAATTTTAAGCAATACCTTATCAATTGTACCCTTATCAGTGGAGAGTAGGACGATAGCAGGCATTCGCGAGCCCGCGGATGGCGGTCGCAGAATGGACGATACGAGAACGAGTAAAGTCGACGAAATCTAACCTGGACTAAGGTGCTGAATAGTTTTCAAGATGACAATAATGATCGTTCGTGGGAGTCTGACGTTGTTGAGGAACTCGGGTAACTTCGGGGGATTTTGAGGTCGTGGATGGAAATTTTTTTTCTACTCGAGATGACCTCACGGTGAAGGCTAGGAATGAAAATGAAATGGGAAAGTCGTGGGTAAGGTGGAGAAAACAACGAGGGCCCTGGAATGGGCGATTTCTCGCGAGAGAATTTCGGAAGTAATACGGAGAAGATTCGTGGATGATTAATTGGGGATGATAAGAAGATGGGAAATGTCTGGCTAAATGTTACCCGAGGCTAATGGATCTTTTGTAAATACTTCTTCAGCCCTTGTCATCCTACGTTGCGAGGATTTAGCGGGCTTCGAGACCTCCCACCATTGTCCTCTCTTGTTCTTTGAATCATGTCATAGATCGGTACATGACACAAGGAAGGAACGGAATCTCTCGTTATGTCATCTCGATGACTAGGACAGTGACGATGGATTTTGTTTCTTCCAGTGGATGGCGTCGAGATTAGATCGATTAAGGACCAGATGTCCTGCGAAGGAAATATCAGAAAAAAACGCTTCAGGAGTCATTTCGAAGCGATGAGGGGATTTAAGGCGGAAATTGATTGACAATGATTGGTCAGCAAGGAATTGTCGGGGATCTCGATGGGAGGAGAGGACCTCGTTAGATCTTTTTCCAGGATCGGATCGGAATAGGCTAGACGGTTAGTTGGATCCCAGAGAAGCAGCACGATAAGCTATCACTCTGTTTTGATCTTGCTCTCTTGTATCGTTGCATCGAGGCATGAGTTAAATATCTAAAGACATCCCAAAAATTCTAGGAGTTCGGCTGCAGACGACGAGGCATCCTATCAGTCCGACATTTTTAAAAACACTTTTTAAAGAATACCCAAAGAAAATCTCACTCCCGTCCTCGTGCCTGAATTCTCGCTCCAAAATATTCTTAAGATCCTTACCCATAAATATCCACGTGCACGAAAATAATAATCGTTCGACTGAGCTATCTTACAAATTTTACAAATATCCTAAATATCTTACTTAATCTTTACTTAAGAAGACATGTAATTTAACCCGAGAAACCAAATAAAACTGCCACGCTATGAAAGAAAGTCAAGATATCCTTTTTTCAACTGTTATCATTTTACAAGGAATGACAAGGAACAAAAGCATGTACAAAGCTGGATCAATGGACAAATCCTGTCTGTCGAATCTCTCCGTGTCGATTGCTTTTTTTCGCAAAACTGAGTACAATAAGTCATTCAAAGCTTATAACACCATAAATACAAAAAAAGAGTCATCTCAATTATGAATATTTTCCGAGCCTTTGCAGCCGGTCTCTGGAATTTTTTTCGAGATCTTTAGGCTCTGCTCCTCCGGAGCAGACCGCTATACATATACGCAATATGTATATACATATACGATATATATGTACGCCTGTGAATAATCGCGGATATATAGAGGAGGAGTATAGGGAGAAGCCAGGGCGATCCGAAGCGAGAAAGAAGAAAACGAAGCGAATTGAACATTAGCCGTTAAGGTGTCCGCGCGCGGATGTGTTTTAGAGGTTCGTTTAGTTGCGCGATATAATATATATATTATATATATTATATATATAAAAGAGAAGTAAGAGAAGGAGTGGCCGAGGATTCGTGCGCGCGAGAGATATTAGTTAACGTGCCACCGTCATATCAAGCCTATATATCATCGTGTTACGTCATAGCTAAGCAGAAATCAATATTACCGTTAATGAATTTATTGTTAATCGAGGATGACTGTTTCGAGCGCGCATTCATTGTCCGTTTCGGTCGTTCGAGGTAACGATTTTCCGAACGTAAAAGTCAGAACGCGAACGGCGAGGCGAAAGGGTCCCGAATTTTTCGAATTTCTTTTTCTTTTTTATTCTCCCCGAGGAAATCAAAACTCGAAAACGAGCCAGGGAATTTTTTTGCAAAGGTTCAGTGACGTGAAAGATGCATCCGATGCAGATTCCCCGATGGGGGGATCCAGGGAGGGGCGGAAAATACAGGGAAATCACCTCGCCGTCGAAGTTCCGAAAACGCGGAAAAACTCGGGGAAAACATTGGAAATAGGGGAAAAATAGCTCCGGAGGAAGGGAGGCGAACGTCGAATCGAATTTCTTGTTGACACGTATACATATATATAGACACTAAACTGTAATATTATTGTAATAGCCAATTCAAAGTTTTAATGCACCGTGTTGAAGAGAGCCTCGGCGCTCGCATAGCTTAAAGGAGGATGCCGAAGGAGGAACGAACGAACGTACGAGAGGGTCCCTTGTGTCGTCCGCTGTCAAACTTGTCCTATATATCGTACGTGTAAAGTCTACCCTATACCGCGAATCGTGTGCAGAGGGACGAGGAGGAAAGGGAAAACGAAAAGGCAGGAAACGAATACACGGAACAAGACGAGTCTCCCCTTGGATATTCCGATATTACGATTACAATTAACGATTCTCAGCACGTACGCGTTACGCCATTCGATACATACAAGAAATACGATATACATACATGAAGACACGCCCAGGAACATGTGCCACCCCATGGGTGGTCCATGGGGTGGTGCCGCACGCTTTTTCGTGGGCTCGCGCGCGCCCACCCACCCCACACACACGGAACCCACACGAACTCCCACACACAGAGAGAGAGGCTGTCTCGATTATTTTTCGACTCGACTGTTTAGCATTTACGGATGTTTTTATCTGACTACTGTTAAGAGGAAGATTTCACGGCGTCGCAGGACGTGGCCCCGGACGAGGGAGGCCCCGCAAGGCGAGCTTTTTTCCGCGAGGTCTCGCGGGCCTTATCGCGCTTTCAGCGACCCCAGGTGCGCGTATCGATTATTCCCGAATTTCCAAAAATCCCGAAAAACGTCCCGAGCTGATTTTGGGTGTCCCTCGGGAACCGCTCGTCCCGGGGATCCGTCCGCTCCCCCGCGACGCCGAAAAACGTGGCTCCCCGCGCCCCTCCCCCTGTCCTCCCGCCCACCCCGATTTTTTATTCTGCATTTCTACGTGTTGTACCGCTAAGTAAGCCACAAGTATTCGAAGTACGTCGGCATGCGTTTAATCGTGACATGCATATTAGGAGTTTCACGTGCGTGTATATAATATATTATATTGTCTAAGGTCAGGGATGCGTTCGCCCGTTCCCGCCACCCCTAAGGTATATAAAGCGGCGACGTTTAATTAAAGGTGGATGTGTGTTACGTCACTCGCGATATATCTCAGTCGCGATTGTGGAAAATGGAGTTCCAGGGGAGAGGAAACTAGAGAGAGGGTTTATTAATCTAGGATAAGGGTAAAGTCTATCGAGGTAAATACATTGTTGCAACTGCCATGCTGTGTGCCATTATATATAAAAACCGAGACACATTCGTCGTGCAAAAGTATCCCCAAAAAAAAAAGGATATGCAAAACGAAGGAGTAAGGATAATATACGATGAAGTCGTGTGGAAATTTGTGCGTTCTCGTCTGTCTGAATATTTCTGTAAACATTGTTAAGTTAGACCCGTGGACTCGTTGCGCACGTCCGTCCACGACCTATCGAAGAGACCCGCACCGAAGAGAGGGCCGATTCCAATTTTTTCGATATTTTTTTTTCTTTCGGAAATTTGGGGAACACCCTGTTAACCATTTGGGGTGGCGAGCTCCTCTGCGAGTCGATCGGGGATGCTCGTCCTCGTCTCGTGGACGACGTGCGATTGTAAACTATATATAGCTAAGTGAACTCGAGCGCATTTTCATTCCTCGTTTTCGAAATATGTATATAATATACAGACACACGTACTCGCGCGTGCGCGCAGGATTCGAAGGACCTCGCGAGGGGAGCGAATTGCTCGACGGGAGTGCTCCCCAAAAGTTAATTAATTGGGAGAAATCGATTTTTTTTTCTCTTTTTTTCCCCTGCCGAAGACTTCTCTGAGGAAATGTGCTCACGTACGCGCAACCACATACACACATGCAAACACACACATGCCGAAATGACGATTGAAGTCTGTGAACGTGATCCTCGATGCGCGCCGGATTTGGGAGAAATCGATTTCCTTCAATCGACTCCTGGGATTTCCATTCGAAATATGAATTCGGAAATAATTGAAAAATACAAGTGGGCGTGTGAAGCGATTTTTTTACTTCGACTTTTATTATTATTTTTTTTTTTAATTATTTCGGATTTAGAGACAATCCATGCGCTCATGGGTAGGATCGCGCCTCACGGAACGGAGCGAATCGGCATTTCCTCGGTATTGAACGTTAGCCCGATTTTATCGACAGCCGGATGTCTGAAGTATATTAAGCAAAGCAAAACATGAAAAAATTGATCCATCATAGAGTCAAGCACAATAAGAACTAGTAGGGCCAGGCACAATAAAATTCGGCCGTCACGTTGTAGCCAGCGATCTGTTAGAGCGACAACTCATGTAAGGTACCTATATAGCGAGGATATTAAATAAACACATATTGTCTATTGTCCTTGCTGCCTGGTGTGTCTTTTTTCTCCCCGTATATCATTCTGAACATTTAAATGCGTCAAATATTTATTTCACATTGTGTAAAAGTTTAATAAAGTAGTAGTGAATTGCAGTGAGTATATGTTGCAATATTTGTAAGCGACAGGTGCCTTTGTTAGTAATCACTAGAGGTATGTAGAGGTATCATAATTCATTACCTTATACATATCTCTGTCGGTTTATGCTGCACTGATATCTGATCCGTTGCAGAATTGTGATCAAGTGACAAATGTGATACTAAACAATGTTGAATGAACTTGTACGTGGTCTTCGGCTCGTACTGAATGACGAGAACAAGGAAATATTCTTATCATAAATGTCAACCAAGTCTTGCTGACAGATAACGATAACAAGTTGCAGTGCTAAGTGCAGAGTGCAGTACTATCTGTTGTTTTTATTTATTCCGGGCTTTATCTGCCACATGTAGGCCAACGTTCGAAAAATATACAAAGTCTTATCACCGATCGATATCGCGATGTCAAATCCAAGTACTGATAAAACCAGAAATACTAATAAATGACCTGCTCGATTCTGGCTGATAATTGATTACCAGTCAATAACATGAATTATGAAGCCTTGGCAAAATCGATTATCGAGATATTGAACTATAAATTTTAATAAACAAATATTTATATATTACGTAGATGGTATTAATTTTTTAAAACCGAACGGAGGTGAACGCACTCAGGAATAATAGAAATAATCGATAACAGCCTTCTCTCTGAAGGTGTTCCTCATCCAATTATGTCAACCCATAACCACAAAGGCGATAAGAATACTGACATGTTCCTTAAAACTTCAATGATCTACTTTTCTAAGTGGGAACGTTATCAAATTATCAGATCGACCATGCCGAGCATTCTAGTTGCCTTGAGCCCAATTTTCCATCAGTCTTAGAAAAAATCCCAACCTTATCCCCTTGTCCGAAAAATGATCTCCACCTTTCTTTCTCCACGTTGCGCACTTTATCGTCGTTTCATCTCCCACGTCTCATCATCGTCTCTTATCCCGCCTCGTCCTTTACGTTTGGGCGTATCTCTTTCCTTGACAAAGTAAATTTCCACCAAGTCCAAGTATTAAGTGGATGGTACGTAGAGATTCACATAATCGCGAGGGTCGTCGACGCAGACCTCGCAATGAACGAGACCGATTCTCATTGTCAGTCGACGATGGTCGCTCGTACATGACCGATCGTCTTTCTCTTCAAGCCCAGATTTGCACGTTAAGCCGTACCGACAGTCTGTATTTAATCATGTTCTTGATGTTGATGGGAGCATTCGTTCTCTTCCTAGACTGGCCAGTTACAGAATCAGTATTTCACACGGCACCAGGTCCATGGGTCATCGCATCTGAAGGCGAAATTTGGCCTCTTCCACTTCATGATATACCTCAAGATGGATACTTTTTGCTACAATCCTCGAATTTTCAGTTCAAGGTGGGAACTAAATTATAAGAAAAAAAATACCTACGACCAACCATGTACATCTTATAATGAGCGACCATTGTTCAGTTAGGGCGGATGTACTTGAGAATTGTAATTTACGCGTCACTTATTAATTATGAGATGGAATATGCTGAAGTACTAGAATTTCCAATTTAATGAGAGAACTGATCGTGATATAAAAGAATAAGCTACGTACTTATAGTGAATGGCGATTGTTCAATAACGAGTGCACTTAACAATTGCAATTTAGTTATCACGCATGAGATATCGGTCGTACTGGACGTTTCTGGGTTGTTGCAATTTCAGGGTCACGTAATATACGTATGACACGAGATAAATCACTTCCTGGTGAATTCGCTGGAACTATTGGCGTTGCTAGAGAATTTTGATAGATCATTTTATTAATCAACCTCTAGTTATAATTCCGATGACCTTAATATTTTCAACATTTCCAGGTTCTCGGGGAGTCCTGCGACATTGTCGACGATGCTATAAGGAGATACACTGATATCTTAAAATCCGCCGAGCAAACTGATCGAAGAGTTTACGACTCCTCGAAGAGATATACGAACTATTTATTTAAATTTAAGGGTTATCTCACGGGCATTGATTTTCGATTGATACAGCCATGTGAAAAGTATCCTCATCTACTTATGAATGAAACATGTGAGTCGTAGTAACGAGTAGCGAAATACCGCGTCCTTCCTTTTAATAAGTGAATACTGCTTGATTAATTATTTTCTATAATTGACAGATACATTGAAGATCGTTGAGTCGAGCAACACTGCCACTTTGACAGCCGAGACAGTCTGGGGACTTTTGCGAGGTCTAGAGACATTTTCGCAGCTGTGGATTCCAACTGGATACAATCCAAGTGTAAGTATACATATATTTTTATTAATTCATATGGATTTTTTTTAACAACTTCTCCATTTCTCGATAGCTAGTAGTAAAATGTCGGACCATAGTGGACGGTCCACGACTTCCTCATCGAGGACTCCTCCTGGACACATCTCGACATTTTCTGCCCCTGTCCGACATTCTGCTGACCATGGACGCCATGTCCTACAACAAATTAAATGTTCTCCACTGGCACATCGTGGATGACAACAGTTTTCCTTATCAGAGCATGACCTATCCCGAGTTATCTGTCAAGGGTGCCTACCATTCCTCGATGGTGTACACTCCGGAAGACGTGAAAAAAGTCATCGAGTATGGGAGATTACGCGGTATCAGGATACTTCCGGAATTCGATTCACCAGGACACACCAACTCCTGGGGATTGGCGTATCCTGGACTGCTGACCCCTTGTTACGGTTAGAAATTATCCACCTAAACCGAACGAGAAAGTTTGGAAAAATTTTTTCATTTCTTGAAGGGATTAGTTATTTCGTAAATCAATTTTCATTTTATCATCTTCGTCATTTTTTTTTGTTTACGTGGAATTACGTATCTGTTATCGTGGTATACCGAGTACCAATTCATGATCGTCATGAAAATTCGTGCGCGAACATCACGAAAATTCGTTACCCACGTAAACTTGAATTGTTTTCAGATTAAAAGTGGTATAAGAATATATTAATCACTCGTAAATATTCTGGGAAAAATGCGTAGAAATTGAAGAAAGTGTTAGAAGGTATTTTTTAATGATTCTTCGTGGTGTTCCCTAATTTTAGGCAGCAACGGGAAGCCGGATGGTACCCTGGGTCCCATGAATCCCACGGATCCTTTGATATATCGTTTCCTGAGAGGACTTTTCTCCGAGATCACCCAGGTATTCCCCGACCAATTCGTCCATCTCGGTGGAGATGAAGTGCCCTTTGAATGCTGGGCCAGCAATCCGGACATTTTGGAGTACATGCGCGAAAATGGGATGGCTGGGAATTTTTCGCGCCTCGAAGAAGAGTACATCCGGAAACTCTTAGATATAACGAGTCAATTCAACGCGAGCTCGATTGTGTGGCAGGAGGTAAATAAAAAGAGAGTGAAAGCTCTCATTAGAAGGAGATAATAATTACAAATGATAAAATATATATTAAGAGCGGCGCAGGAATTATGTGACTATTTTTAGGTCTTTGATAACGGGGTGAACCTTCAACCTAATGTGGTGGTCCATGTGTGGACGGGACATTGGCAAAATGAGATAAATCTGGCCACCAGAGCCGGTCATCCAGTTTTGCTCTCCGCTTGCTGGTATCTGGACCACATAGCAGGTGGAGGAGACTGGAAGAAGTTCTACAATTGCGACCCTCTTAGCTTTCCAGGCAACAGTAGGCAAAAGAAGTTGATGCTAGGTGGAGAAGCCTGCATGTGGGGAGAATTCGTAGATAGGTAAGATACTTATTTTTTTTCTCTCTCTTGACTTAGAACTTGTCGAGTTACATTTTACGTATCGATTTATAGGAACAATGTACATCAGAGAATCTGGCCTCGCGCATCTGCAGCTGCGGAACGACTCTGGAGTACCAAAACGGCAGATTATAATTCCGCTGCAGCGCGTCTTGAAGAACATGCGTGTCGCATGAATAGACGTGGCATTCCCGCGCAACCACCTAATGGACCTGGATTCTGTGTGCTTTAGATACAGATCGAAAGCTTCTTCCCCATAATTCTTCATTATAGGTCTGACGACAAGGTCGTTCAGATCTCGAATAAAGTATCACAGGGGATTTTTGTAGTCCCTAAATAAATATGTAAAAAAAGTCGTTTAGACTTTTTAGGACGGTATTTTATTAATTTTAGACCGCAGAGTATTTCTCAGGAGATTCGAAAAAAAAACAGCCGACGAGTTGCCATCGCGACTCTTAAACAGAGGCTGTCAGATTCAGAAATTCTGGTCACCACTAGGTGACTTCGTTCCCGGAGGCCAAATTTTAGTGATAACATTGAAAATGTCATAATTTCTGTAATTAGGGTAAAATTGAGCTAGACCTCTGCACCCTCCTCGCGAAATTAGGAAGGCAGGCTTTATCCCTTTAAGATCTTCCGTAAGATGCAATGATGAGGTAAAACTCCTCAGGGTGTGAAAATAAAATTTTATCCGAATTTATTTATTGGGACTGTATTATACCTGTGATTATAACACTATTTAATTATTGGTTTATACAGCGGGTGTTGCGGAAATTCGACGGAGACGCCAGGTTTCTCTTTGTGTCCACCACCGTGTTTTCCTCCACCTCTACCAAAATGTTGTCCACCACCATGTCCACCCCCTTGTCCTCCTCCATGTCCACAAATTTTATGCACTCCTCCATGCCCACCACGAAGTCAATCCTGTATGCCATGTGTACCTTGCATTCGGTACCAACCACCATGTCCTCCGAGACAGCCATTGAAACCCATTAAGACTGTGGTAAATGTTTAAACATGTCTAAATCTTTAATCATCGCAATTTAATATTCCTCTCTAAAATTGATAGTAACATCTGTCCTTTTTAGGTTTATCTGCAACCTTATCCATGTTGCCCCCCACAAGGTCCAGTTCCGTGTCCACCTAAAATCGAGGTAACCTTCTTGCCACCTAAACCGAGCCCTCCGCTTCCACCTCCGACCTTCGCCTACATTTGCACTACAAAACATGTGCCCTGTTTGCCACCACCTCCTCCTACACCTCCAATCACCTCTCCTTGTAGGCCATTATGTCGTAGGTTAATGATTTTACTTCAATAGTCTTTTAACTATATTCTTTAATTACAATTTTTACTTTAATCCACGCATTTTTTAGTGCCTTGTCCACACGACTAACGTCCCACTGTGACTATGAAAAAAATTGGAAATACGTGAACACAAGATGAAGCTGTGAATATGATATCGGAGCTGAGCCACAGCTGAATTCAATGGCGTCAAATGTAATAAATAAATGCGCTGATACAGATTTCAGACGTCTACGCTTATTTTATAAATATACCCATGTTCTTCTAATTTAATACGATACTACCATATTTTCTTTTTTTTTTTTTTCTGTGGTATTTTAAATTGCATCGAATTTCTTACACGTACCCATGACAACAAACCTAATGTCAGATCAGTAGATTATCATATGTTCATTCCGTCTTGTCGCGTTCCGGTGATTGCACCAAATCCGCGCTGAAAATTCCCTAAACTATTGAAATATGTCAGACTGATGACAACTAGAATCTAAATTGTTGATTCCTCGGAGACCAGCTTTCGAAAAATCATGACCAAAAGGTAAGCTTCCATCCCACCTACCCATACATTACATTTCAGACCTTCCGCTCCTGAATTGATGCCATAAGTTATGAAACGTCATACAGGAAAATATCCTTGGAGGTGCCCCGCGGTGTAAGAAATGTCAGCCGCAAGTCGAGCTCGATGAACTTACGGCAAAAAACGAGCAATTTGGAACACCGCCAGCTCGGCTCGGCGAAGATGTCCCAAACCGTCGACCCGGCATCGATTTTAATTTCCCCGGAAAATCGGGAGCAATTAACCGGGCGAAGTGGTCACGAGAAATCGAAGCTCACGGTCGCAAATGCGAGCCAAGACATCCCCGTGCCAAAAACTCGCTTCAATGGTCATGAGAAGTCGAGCGACCCAAAATCGAGCTCTTCGCCGAGACTGAAGAACTTTCCCGCTGAGAAGGTAAAAAAGTTGGAAACCGGCTACCAATTTTTCCCCAGATCTGCAGTGACTCTTGCCCAACAAGATTCTCAGCTAGTTGATTTCCCGCAAAATCGGAACAACGGACATGGCGATGCGTTTTCTCATGTTCAAACCCTGAAAATGCCCCAACATGACCAGAATGCATCTGCCAGTCAGCAGCAAATGAGACATGCTCATCAGATCAGCAACAACGGGATACAGTCCGAAGTAGTGCTGTCCTCTCAATCCGCAACTGCACCTGCGGATCGACAAGTGCATCGCCCTTTCGTCCCAAACGCCACCCAAGGGGTGGTTGTGCATTCCCCCAGAAAACCTGCACTCTCTCCTCGATATCCGCCCACTCTTCCCCAAAATCAATTTTCTAATGGCCCAGGAATTCAGCAAGAGACTGATAAGACGAATTGGAGTGGTGTTCAGAAAGAATGGAAAACTGACGAAACAGTGAATAGATTCGATTATGAGAAGCAACCTGTAGGGGGAAAGAATGCAGAGATGCATCGTCGGTTGACTCTGCAAGGGAGGAGCCACTCGCATCAGCAAGGACATCAGCACCTGCAGGTGCAGAATCCTGGGACGAATTATTATCCCCCTAGTTCAGACGCTGCTTGGCCATCGGTGCAGAGTAACATGGAAAGCTTCCCCGTGAACATGCCTGAGTTAAAACAGAATACTCAGGTTTATCATGAAAATAAGAATAATCGACTGCAAGTGCAGCAACAAGAGGTAATAGCGCAACAGGTGCAGGCGAACAGGTTGACTGGACCTGGTATGACGTCGCCACAAGATCTTAGGATAGGTCAGTCCTTGACAAGAGAACAGTGGAACAATTTTGGTTATCCGATGAATCCTCATAGCTGGGTGATAAATAATCAGGGAGGTCAACAGAGGCCGATGCAGTATCAATACGCACAAGGACCGATGCATCCGACAACGATGCAACCGCAGTTCCAATCTCAGGTGCAGTCGCAAGAAGAGCCCTATTGGCAGTATCAGACAAATCATCCTCACCGGCAATATCCAGCTACTCAGCAGGTCGTCTCTCCTAATCAGAAATGGGATCGGCAATTCAACCAACAGTATGTCCAGCAACAAGTAGGGAAGAGACCTCCTCAATTCACTCAGGAGATGATAAGGGATCAGGAAGTATTGTTAACAACGATGAGGCAACAGAGGATTCCAGAAGACCTGATGAGGAGACAATTCGAGGCCTTGTTGAACGAACAGAGGAAACACCTAACTTACATGCAACAAACGCAGCAAGATGCAAATGACAATACGAGTAAACCGGCGCCGTTTGTGCATCGGAAAATCACGAAAATCCTAGAAGACGGAAAACCGGAGTGGATGATGCACATAACGCCGCCAAGGATGTCTTACCGAGATTTTGAAAGGATGAAGAAGAACCAGGAAGATTCCGATAAGAAAGTGATTAGATATGCCGATGCACAACGAAGTAACTTGCAGCAAAATGCAAATGCTGTTCAGGATCAGCAAGTGCAATTGCAGACTTCTCAAGTGCAAAGTCAGGTGCATCCATGTCAAACCTGGCCAGGTCAGTATGGTGATTGGCAGTGCAGAACAGAAATGCCTCCACCTCCATATAATTTCGTAAAAGGACGTTCCAGCTCGCTTCATTACCCTCAAAATGTACAGTATTTTCAGACTACCGAAAACCATCCACATCATCTGACATACCAAAGCCAGATGTACGATCAAAGTGTCCAGCAGTACCAATATCCTCGGAACATCCAATACTTTAACAATCAGCAACAATTCCTTCAGGATCAACAGATGTGGCAGAACTGGTACTTGCAGCAGCAGGAACGACAATCTAATATGACACATTCAACCGAGGCAGATACGAGTTCCAAAAACGTGGAACCTTCGAGTTTGTTGAAATTGAGGAAGTACAAAGAAGTGATTTGCCCCCAGAAACGTAACAATGGACTCCAGGATCCTGAGAAAATTCGCGAGGCCCTTGAGGCTCTCAACAGGCCCGAAAATCGACGTGGACTTGAATATCTTGCGAATTTAAATAAGAAGGAAGTCTCTGTTAGATTAAACGGTACACAACATCCTGGTCAAGTACCACCAGAATTGGTCACAGCTCCACCTAGGGAATGTTATCAACAAAAATTAATCTCCGCAAATGGTCTGGAGAACACCAGGAACCCCAACAACCCGGCACCAGCTCCAACGCTGCCTAGAAATGTTGGGGAACCGATTTTGGAATACCCTCGACAGAAACTGGCAAATCAGACCAGACATTGCTATCAGGTCGCTGAGAGAGAGAATGGAACAACTTCATCCGCATTGCAACATTATCAAGGCTCGATGGAGTCACAATTTCAATCTAGTTACGGTTCGCCAGGGATACAGAATTTCAGTCGAAATAAATTAGACGTTGCTCGGTGTAACGAGAGGAACTCAATGATGGTCCACAATGTTGCTGGGCAATTGAGAATCGATGAGAATCAGCCACAATTTTATCAGCAGCCGAGTCAAGGCCATTTTCGACAAGACTTCAACGTTTATAATAATGGTCAAGGGGATGCATCGAACCCTAAATATGTACATTTTGCTGACCAGGGAAACAAATTACAAGGTGGCGGTGACGCTGCTGGAGCTGCAGGGAACATGATCTCTCACAATTTACAACAAATTAGGAATTTTAATCACAACCAGGATATTTGCGAGCCAAGGATGATCGGAGGGGTGACTTATTTTGCAAGGAGACCTAGCCACATGAAAAATGTTCCAGTTTCTCCCCATCGGTTCGCTGATAACAAGTACTTGCACCCACCCACCGTCGTTAATTAATTCCATGGACTTCAAGGCGGAAGAGAAGACCACGAGGCTCTTTTTTTATATTATAACTTTACTCGGTTTTCCTACCCCTTTATTTGTACGTTTTATGTACATGTTCTATTTACAAGTTTTGTATAAATTAAACAAAACAGCTAAAGGCATACTCATTTTCTCGAGAAAAATTTTAATGTAATTATGCGTATATTAATTCTCAACTGATCCGGTATCATGTCATGAAGGCACTGAACACAGCAGCAAACTCGTCAAAAACCAGGCAGATGTCAAAAATGGCGACAGTTCGCCCGAGACAGAGTCCCTGTCTCACTCTCGATCGAAATCTCCGACCATAAAATACTTTTTTCCCACTTCATCTTAAATTTTCCGTGACCGCGAGACATAAGATACGGATATGGGGCAGTGTGAGAAAAATCGGAATTTAATGGACCAGCTGCACGAGCTGATCTGCACGATCGAGAAGTTGTAAGTCGCCGCTCCGTTTTGGCTTGCGGTTCGAAGTCTGTTTAAAATTCTTCGTTTTTCAAGAAAACCCGAGCCGGAAATTTGTAACGTGAGTTGTCCTCCATTGGGATGTCCCCGAGGACCCTGTCCAGGAATGTGCTGCTATCAAGGTATCTGCGATGCCTGCTGCCTTTCCGAGATGCCTTGCTGTCCACCTCCTGAACCACCATGCTTTTGTCCTCCACCATACATGCCTCCTCCGAAAGCACACTCTTTTTCCGAGACACACCTTCGACCATTTTTTCCAAACCCATGTGCCCCAAAACCACCATGCAAGCCCTCTGTGAAGTCGTCTTGCCCCTCAAGACCACCCTCTCAGCCGTGCTGCCCAAAACCACCCTGCATGTCTCCTACGGTGTCATGTTGCCCTTCCAGAAAACCCTCTCAATCCTTTTGCCCTAATCTCTGTGTCGCGAAACCACCCTGTCCTCCACCTGTGTGTCCAAAATGCTGCCCTCCACCACCATGCCAAACTGTGTGCATCCCATGTTGTCCACCACCATGTTACAGTCCGCCAACCACCTGGGTGATTCCGGTTATCACGGTGCCCTGTCAACTTAAATAAATAAAAAAAATATTTCCCGGATGTTTACAAAAAAAGATAACTCGAAATGTGCTGCGAAGAATTGCCTTATCGGTTTGTAGGATTTTTTATGTACTACATATCGTGCCAGACTGTGTAATCTATGCAGAGGAATATAAATTGTAACGTACGATTACACTATCACGAAACTGATATTTTTACTGTGAGTAAAAAATACACCTCGATTTTTAGTATGTGATGTTTGTTAATAGATCTTTATTTTAAAGGAATTCGAAAATTTAAGGGCGAGAGAAGTATGTTTAGTAGGGATTTTACTTAATTTCGATTAAACAAAGGACGTTCCATGTGCCACTTTATGGTAATGATCGAACTAGTTTCAGATGTATCGGTCTGAGAACCTGTACTAGTGTCAATGTTACTTTCTATAATATGGAGAAAAAAGTCGAGCATGAAAGTTTATTACTGGGCCGATCACGGTTACATAACATTGTACAGATTTTTTCGATGATTCTCGATAAGGGACAGGAGAAGCAGAAAAATGAAAAGAAAAAACATGCAGATGATAAAGGCGATCATGCGCAGGTTTGTTTCGGATTTTACCGTCAACAAGGAGTTTATCAGAATCAGACAGTATTTAAATGAAATGTTTGACATGCATACTCTGATTATATGTGAAATTTCTAAACGGTTATATAATATTGATTACACGCGTATCCACATTTAGCTCAGTATGTTACCATCGGATTACATGAAGGAAATGTTAATGACAACAGAAGAGAGGATCGAAAGTTTAATGAAACTTAGAAAAAAAATTACCTTCAGCTCGGATTCTGAATTTGAAGGAACATGCAGTTTCATTTCGATACCTTCTGTTATCATATTTCAACAATTCATTCCTGGGAATGTTTACAATATCGCACTCTCTATTCGTAATGTATCCAAGGTAAAACGATCATTAAATATAATTTAAAATCCAGTGATATTTTAAACAATAAATTGTTGACTCTGGTTATCATTTTAACAGATATCACATTATATAAAATTGTCCTGCGAAGTCGATCCCTCATTTACGGTCGAATTTCGAGGTGCAACTTTAAATACAAGAATTGCACCAGGTATGGCCCTTGTTTACAATGTCAAATTTTCCCCAGAAGAGAAAAAAGATTATCACTATCAAGCAATATTTGTCACCGATACCGAGATCTTCAAGGTGCCTATCATTGGTGAGCACAAGAAAGCTAAATAAAATTGCACAATTAATTGCAAAATGGAGGAAACATTATTGAAATTTTGTGTAGCCATCGGGCCGAGGCCTCTTTTAGATTTCCCGGATCGAATAGAACTGCCAATGACCGCTGTCAAAATTCCGTCATCAAAATCCATCCTGGTCAGAAACATCGGTGACGTTCCTGCGATTTTCACACTTTACACCGAATCGTAATTATAATCATATTCAATTTTCATATTCTTGAGTAATTAACGCATTCGTTCGCTAGATAAAGAAAGAAGAAAACTAACTCTCAAAAATTTCCATTTAATTTCATTTTTTTAGCCCGCACTTTTCAATCGAACCTTCGAAAGGAATTATCGAGGAAGAAGAGACGGTTCAGTTCGCTTTGACTTTCCTTTCAGTAAAAGCCGGCGATTTCGAAGGAACTCTTCTACTGAAATACGAATCTGGTAAATGCAGAAAATTAAATAAATAATTAATAATGCTAGAAGGTACTAATAAGTACATGTACTATTTTTTATGCGTTGGAAACATTTCCTTCAGGGGAAACAATTCGTTTGGAATTGCGTGGGTCAGCAATAAATTCGAATGTTCGACTGGACAGGGGCAGCATCAGAATGGAAGACACGTTTTTGGGATTGACGAGATCGAAGACTTTCTCAATTCATAACAGAAGTGACTACATTGTTCGTTTCCAATGGATGCAGTACAAAGATAAGAAGACGGACGAAAATCGGAAAAAAGAGTACGTCAAATTAATTCATTAAATTTGGCGATTCACAGCTGTTGAAACTATTTCTCTCTCTAATCCATGCAGATACAAACAAATGTTTGGGACAGTAAAAGACATCGAGGTTGCACGGTGTGCTGATCTTGTGCATTTTAATGTATGTTTACCGAAAACACATGAATTAATATGCCAGAGGATCTATACCGACGAAATCGCGGCTTTGGAGAGCGACACGTTTCCCTTCCATCATACCAGTTTCATTATTTCACCCATGGTTAGTTTATACCGCAAAAATCAGAGTTAAGAAAAAAGAGACGTATGAATCGAACGAAAATTAATTACGTTTAATTACTCGGTTATTTACTGTTCCTAACTAGGAGGGTGAAATTTGGCCGCAAAGTTCCATAGAGTCTAATCTCCTCTTCAAACCTAATAAGGTTGGTGAAATTTCAAGTACAGCCTACTTGGAGGTTGCAGCTAGAGAAGATAGAATACCCTTAAGGTAAAAAGTAGATGTGCTAATTTTTCTAATTACTTCCCTGACTCGTAATTAATTCTACTATTTTTATCAGTTTTATCGGCGTCTGCAAAGGGCCAGTATTCCACCTGAACGCGGTTACCATCAACATCGGAAACGTATTTCTTTGCTCGGTGCATAATTATGAAGTAAGTTGCGAGAGGTCAGCTTTTTATTATAAACTCGTAGAGATTATTTTTCCTATCATTAAATCCATACTTGGAATGATACCGAAGGTCCAATGTTCCCCGAAAAAAAATGTGACAATTTTAGGTGATATGTGCCAATAAGGGATTCATCCCTGGCGTTTTGGCTTATCAGCCGAGACCCTCAAATTTTGGAAGCACCATTAATATCGAGCCCCCACAGCAGAGATTAGAGCCTGGGGAGTACAAATCATTCAATCTTTCCTTCTCTTCAAATCGAAGCGGCTCTTTCGTGGAGCGAATTGACTTCGTCGTGAAAGAAAGTCTTGAAATGATCTCCATGCACGTCGAGTGAGTTGAGCAGTATGTACTTAAACATTCCCAAATTTACTATTTTTTTCTTCAGGGGTAAAGTGATATGTCCTACTCTGCATTTCGATAAAGAGTCTCTAGATTTTGGCGTCACTCCCTTAGGTAAAGTTATCCAAGTATCCTTTAAATAATTTATTTGGACAATTTTGCAAATCAGTTGAGTCCGTTAATTTCTCCTGCAGGGTTTACATCCAAACATGAAATGTCACTTCATAATTTGTCTCTGGTGCCTGTGACATTTTCCATGAGTGTATCCGGAGACGGCGATCAGCTAGCAGTGACCCATGATGACTTCTCAAAAGCTCTTATCAAACCTAATTTCCCATCTCAGCCCTGTGAATTTGTTATCACCCCTTGCGAAGGGGTTGTCGCCGCCCACAGTTTCCTTAAAGTAAAGGTGAGCTTCTCTTCGGGAACAAGACTATTACTTTTATCAATTATTTATTACGAGTTTCTAATTTAATTTCCTTTATATTTCTAACTATCGTAACAATTTCGTTACAATGTTTTGAAAGTAGATCAGTTACACACCGAATATCGTTCGACATGGACAAACAAACGTAAGAGTCGATATGTGGGACTCTGATGTAGAACCTATGGTTTTGCCGATAACATATCGTTGTAAAGTGGCCAATCTGATAGTCACACCCTCTGAAGTTGCCATAAGATTTTGCTTTATTAATCATCCATATACACGGACTCTTACCATTGAAAATAAATCCGACGTCGAGGGATACTTCTACCTCGCCCCGCAAGTTGTACGTTTATTGTTAATTTCGAATTAAAAAAAACATGATTAAAATATCTATGAGTATCTCTAAAATATGTAGATCTACACAAATGAAAAATTCATCCTTGGACAATTTTATTTAATATTCAAGGTTACCCCGAACAGCACTATATTATATTCCGTATCCACTTGTCAAGGATACTTGAAACCTGGTCAATCAAAATCCATATCACTAACCATTATCACCAGTGGAATGGGCAAGCAAAGCACCTCCATAAAGTAAGCCGAAACTGTGCTTAATAATTTTCTGATTATATACACTTTAATTTTTACCGTACATTTTCAGTCTATTAACTTTCGGGGAAAAGGTGCCAAATTTACGGTGTACATTAATTTGCAATGGTCAAGGGCCCGTGGTAGCGGCTAATCCAATATTGCTAAATTGGCACGAAATTCCAGTTCTGCAAGAGGAGGGCTCGAAAGTGACTCTGATTAATGACTCGCCCATTCCTGCCGAGTTCAAGATCAACTTGGTAACTTTAGTCATTAGATTATTGCTCAGGCAACAGAAAATGAAATGAACTTTGAAATTTTTCGAAGGGTAAGCGAAATTCCCCATGGTCGGTACATCCCATTGGAGGCGAAATAGAGGCGAATCAGTCAGTGGAGTTAGATATCAAAGTTTTCCTGCGCGATGCAGGGAAGTATTCCGATAAAATATTGGTATCGATAACCAATAGTCGTACGATATTCGTGAATCTTACGGCAACTGCAGTTGGGTCCAGCATTATTATTCAGCCACCCGTCTTTCCGGTCTTTGAAATGGGACTTCTCTTCTGGTACTATAAATAATGTCTACTACCATTGGAATGAACTTCAAATACGTATCTTAATTCTCTCTTTATTTCAAACCTCCCAAGCAATCAAAATATAAGTCTACCGATAACCATGGAGAACAAAAGCACCAAAAATCATCAACTGATATGGGTCGCCTCGCCAGAATTACGTCTCTTATCAAAAGGCCGAATTCAAAGCCCGACCGAGTAAAGATACTTTACATTTATTTAACAGTGTTCTTAATAAATTGTAAGGTCATTTTAAATGTCATGCATGAATAATTAGTTAAGAAAAAAATTGTTACCCCGCAGTAACAAATTTCGAGTTGAGCCTGTCATGATTGACTTACCTGCCGGCGAAACGAGAGTTGTTCATTGCAAGATTCGTTGGGACGAGTAAGAATTTTATACAAGCGTTAAATTAATTTTCCCATTTGTTAAACACATTTTTCTTCTAGGAAGAAGACTCTCTCGGAGCAATGGTACCTTCATGCTCAGATAGAAGGTCTAGGAAAACGCGAAATTCTGGGAATCAGCAACTTTACTGCGACATTTGTTGAGCCGAGCATAACTTTTAGCAAAACTGAGCTATTCTTTCGTCTGGACATGTTTCCGGACTGCGACAAATTGCAGATAACAGGCAAACCATTTTCAACAAGAAATAATAATAATTCCATAGCAATTCGCTTATAGGATACATTAATTAACATTTTTAATTATATAGACGAACTTTACGTGATGAATGAATCCAAGCTGAACCTGAATACTCATCTCAGCATTGATCCACCATTTGAATTAATCACCGATAACGAGGAATATGTTTACAAAATGAATATCATATTAATCGATCGCGTGAGAACCCGAATACGCGCTCGATTTTCTCTTTCAAATTATTCGTCGAATAAGAATGTACCTCAGACTTATCAAGGGGTCCTGAAATTAGAATACAATCAACATTCGAATAAAGTATGATATGCCAAGTATAGTACATGAAAATACATATGATAAGCCAAAATTAAGGTCGTGCTCTTATTTTTAGGACAAGATATGGTGCAAGGCCGAAATCAATTATCCGCATATCGAGCTTATTCCCGATGAAATTAAATTCTCCTGCGACTTGGGCTGCAGCGCCGAAAAGAAATTAGTTTTAATGAATTCCGGTCCTATTCCTGTTTTCTATCATTTTCTCTGGTGCAAAGACAGTATCAAAATTGAACACAGAAGTTCATCCAAGGTTAGAGTGAAAACGTTATCAAATATTGCAATTTTTTAATATCAACGTTTTATCAGTAGCTAGGAGTCTCATCTCGGGAAATCAATGAAGATATGGAGGCTCCGATCGGTTTAACAAAAGATACGGATGTAAAAGGACAATGCATAGAAAGTGCGCCAGAATCCATCTGCTTCCACCTAGGCACTTCTATAAAATGTAACGAAATTATTTATATTAATTAAGAAATTGTTCGTACAAGGCTGAATATTTTTTTTTTCATCAGCACCGAATACTCAGCGGAGGGAAATACAGTCTGATGACGACTTAAAGAGTGAGAAAGGAATTACGATAAGTAAGACAGAGATTAGAGACTTTCTTCTTCCTCTCGTTCACACCTATCTTGCGGAAGACACCGAACTGCCAGCTTTAGACAGTATCAGCAATGAGCCACCATTTGTTGATTACATTAATAAAGTTAGTAATTCTTACTTCTTTTTTCTCTCTCATACGTCGAGTTTAGGATAAATACAAGTCGAGATAAATAATTAAACAGGTCCTGGACATAGTGCCTCGAGAAGGCAGAATAGCACCTTACACAAGCCAATGCGTGAGTTTTGCATTTTATGGACTTCAACCTGTCAAAATTAACGTAAAAGCAATTTGTCAAGTACGACGAGGCCAAACTCAGGTAGTTAATATAAGCGCAACTGCAGGTGTCATTCTCTACAATATTGACAAAAGTGTCATCGACTTTGGCCAGCATGTAAGTTGACACTCCTTCATTCCCTATTTCGCACTTTTAATTAACTTTTTGTCACTAGATTTTCTGCGATCATTTCCATTCAACCTTAAAATTGGAGAACCAGGGTCTCCTTAGATTCGCATTTCGGGTGAACAATAGAAAAGAAATGTCTTCGTATTTAATGCCTAGGCATTCCGCAGAAAACTTGCTGAAAATTAGTCCGAGGTATGGAATAATTGAACCTAAATCTTCGATCGAATTGGAAATTTATTATCGACCAATAATTCCTGGACCCTTTAAAGGGAAGTTCTACCTTGAGGTTACTATTCTTTTTCGAAGACTTCTATTGTGCTGACACTTTTTATTAAATTTTTATACCATTAATTATAATTTACAGATTGGATACTTGCAGCCAATCACGATGCATGTGCAAGGTGTTGCTACATTTCCTCAAGTTTACATTTGCATTCCTCGTGTTGATCCTTTTCAAGAATATCCTGTCGAATATGGATACGAGGCGATAGCATCGATGCAAAATTATACACAGGTTATTGTTTTCAATACTGTTTAGAAAAAAATAAAATTCATAAATTGTTGGTAGATAATGTAAGAGTCCTATATTTATAGGACGATAACGTGCAACAAGTGCAACAGGAAAAGTGCAGCATCGAGGATCTACAAATGTCACTCACTGAAATGAGTCATTTAAAAAGTAAATGCGTGGACATTGTTTATTAACTTAAATGATGAATTTTTTAACCACTTTCATGGACTCTTTGTCATTTCTAGACGATGGATGGGTAGTGATTTCAAGTAAAGATGGATTTCCTAATGTCATAGATATCGACATGTCCGTGGAAAGGCACTTTTCCATCAACTTCATCAAAGAAAATATGCAAATCCTTTTGAAACACAATATTCACAATAATGGAGCACTGCCTTATCTTTTTTCAACAGAGTATATCATTGGTATATACATGCTTATAATGTTACAAGACTAGTTCTTAAAAATGATTTACACTTCATGATCTTTTTTATCACAGACATGGGATATGTAATAGTTGGACAGGTGGCTCATTATTCAGCAATGTTGTATAATTATGGGTCTAAAAAAACATCGATTTCTTTGAAGAAAGCAGAAAAAAATTCCCGTCTGAATAAATCCGGAATTACAATTCAGTTTCGAGATGTGCTGCAATTACCTGCCGAGGAAAGTGCACCTCTTCAAATCACTTTCTATCCAACCCGGTCAAAATACCCAAACAAAAATACGATTGTCAATGAAAAAATTTATTTCGAGGTAACGTGGTACGATGCATTGTATTACAATTTTTTTTTTAATAATTGTTAACAGTTATCATTTTTTTAGGTGACCCACGGCTGTACACTTCCTGTCGCTATTACGGCGATTGTCACGTATCCGTTTCTGACTGTTAACTCGACAATTTTGGATTTCGGTGACGTCCTCGTGGGCGAGTGTCTACTCATGCCACTTCTGTTTAAGAACGAGTAATCATTAATTTCTTTACAAGTAACTGCAAATTTAATTTCACTAAATTAAAGTAGAATATTAATTTTTTCAAAGTTCGTGTTAACGAATTATGTTGAAAATCACTTTCCTTTTACCATGTACACGTATATCTAAACCCTTTTCCTATAAAATAATGTTCTCACGTATTTTACAATTAATAACATTAATTTCGTTTATAGAGGATCGGTAGACTGTCAATGGGAATTAAAATTCCTCCCAAGTCGTCGGAAATGTGATGACAACCCCTTTCACGTAAATTGCACGTCCGGTAATTATCCGCCAGGACAGCAGGGGGTCATTAATATATATTTCAAGCCTCGCAGAGCAGTGAGTTAATATATTTCTTTCAATTTAATGTCAACGAGAGAATCATTGCTTCAGCGATTATTACACTTCATCATCAATTTACAGGCTTATGTCGAAGCGAAATTGACGGTGACGGTACACCTACTTCTGGAACGCCAAATAATCACATTTGTTGGCAGAGGAATAGAGCATAAATTAAGTATTGTTGAATCGACCATATTGTTTCCACCAACAATTCCGTACACAAAGGCTCGAGATCGAACCTTCACTATCGAGAATATCGGACAATTACCTGTCGAGTTTTATTGGCATCACCTTGATGAGTACGATAGATTTTTTCAAAAATTGCCTAAAATATAGTTTTCTGAACTTTCCAGGAAATTGTTTTTAATGTATTCCCTCTTAGCACCCTATTTGAAGAAGATTGCATGGCAAGGATACTGACGCATTATTATCAAGTTGACGAAATTCTATTACCGACACGAAAACTTGGTGAACGATTGCCGGAACCTCTTTTACGATTTTTTAAAGACCTGTTGAATGAAATTATACTAGCTCGATCTGCACAATTAGTGGAAGAAAAAATGATGAACGAGGTTGAAGATATGGTAGAATCGGAAGAATGTAGGTCGTTAAATAATTCAATTTGCCATGCATTTTTTTCATTACGCGAATTATTCATTGCTTGGCATGACGACTGAAATTGATGATTTTCGTTTTACGATTTAAAATTTGGTACAGTCGAGCCCAGGATAAGCGAGGCGGCAGAAGTTGCCTCGATTGCGTCTCGTAAAGACCAGAAAGATAGAAAAGGGATTTCTCGTAAACAAACAAGAAAAAGGAAATCCACGTACCAATCGATTGCTGGGACTTTCAAGAGAGATCATTCGCTCATGAAAGTCTCGATCCAAGATGGTAATTTCGAGGAGCCACATTTACCAATCAATGATCCAAAAGAAATAGAACGCATGATGCATTGTAGGTGCTCATTTCTTCGTCGAATTGATTTATTTCAATTTTTATTCCCACCGGTTCGTTATTAATATTTTTTATATCAGGTTACATTGACGATTTGCAAAAGATGCCGGATTTCTTCCTTACAATGAAGGATCCCGTCGCTGAAGTATTTAATGCAGAGAAACCAAAAGCAATTCTCGAGATAGAAGATGATTCTGTGCCGAGGAAGAAATGTTGTGTCATTTTTCACGGTGCTCCATATACTGGTAAGAGTGTACCTGCACTAACCATTATGTAAACTTCAAATTTAACTGCAAATTTTAAAAAAGGATGACCATGAAATATTAAAAATCCTTTCTCCTTTCAGAGTACCAAGAAGCTGCTTGCAAAACTGCTCGGATACTGAATGTACCTTTGCTTGACCTGAACGCAGCTGTCATCGAAGTCATTGCATTGGGAAACAGCATTTGTGCCGAAAAAATGCGCAACATCATCGATACTAATTATCAATCGTGCTTAACGAAGACAGAAGCGTATATGTAATTAACACTTGCCTGGTTGATTTATAAACTTTTATTGGTTAATTTATTGATGTGTAATCGCCGCAGGGAATCACTGGCTAATCAGTCAAAAATTAAAGAAAATCTCAGCGATCGCCCTCAAACACCAAAATCGGGAAAACTTGAATCTACTGGAAGTGAGAAAAATGTTAAAACTGTTGAAATCAAGCTTCATGAAGATCCTGATCCCGTGAAAGAGTTTAAAAAAATTCCTTCCATTGATGAATTGAATGACATGGATTCTCTGAGTAGATACGAGTACATTATAGAAGGTATCAGCTTGATGCAAAAAATGATGTCTCGATTGGCTTCTAATCCTCCAAAGCAAAAGTCTAAAGAAAAAGGCGGTAAAAGCCCAAGAAATCTTGATGGCACTTTTAATCTGAGCTTAGATCTTGTATCTGAAGCTGTTGAAGAAAGGTAAATATAAATTAATGAAATCATCAATTATGTATCATTTTTTAAATAATCACGTAATTTAAGGTATTATAATTAGTTCCAAAATATTCAATTTCAGACTCTCAATGCCAGATTTCAAGGCTGGATTCGTTTTACAAACCTTAAATAATAAATTTGTAAAGAGTGAACCCGACACGTTGTCTATGATTTTGAAAATTATTGGCAACGTGGAATACTTCATGTTTATTAGCTTCTACAATGACATGGAGATGTACAATGCTCGGAACGACGAGTTGATTCGACAAAAGTGTATGTATCTAAAAATGTGGAATAATAAATAAAAAACATTAAGCATTTTTATATTTTTGGGAAATTAGTGGATAAAGCGAGAAAGGTTCTTCTGGAAAAGCAAGAGGCCATGGAAGAGATGTCCCAGTCGGAGTTCGAAAATCTTCCCGAAGAAGATAAAGAGATTTATGCAAGAACAATCTTGATGGCAAAAAAGCAAGCAGCCTTAATAAGAAAGACAGAATATCAGCAAAAACTATTTGACGCAAGGAGGAAAAAAGTGGTAAAATAAAGGCAATGTAAGAATACAGTTTTCAGACATGTCACAGGAATTTGTTTTCAGGCTTTAACAACAAGCATTAAAAAAAAACCACTAAAGGGCACTAAAAGTAAAATCCTTCGAACTGCGAGCCCAGAGAAATCCGTCGAAGCCAAGACAACTTCCGGAAGAAAAACTACTGCCGATAAAAAAAGGGGCAGTAAAGAAAGTGCAAAACGAGGTAAAAAAATTAAGAATAAAGACATAAATTCAGGGACTCGAGCGAAAGGTGATAACGTTTGATTTAATTTTCTCTTCTTAGGGAAAGAAATAGTACCCGCCGAATTTTTACAAATCGTCTCAGCAATGGACGATTACCACGCGAGTTTGAATACTATCAATTCAATCCTCCACGGTTGGGATCCCGTGAAAAAGATATTACACGTAAACAATATTTATTTTAAATGAGAAAAAGGCAAGTTCCGTATAACTCTGCCATAACTTTTCTTTTTTTCTTTCTTTAGGAAACACCTACCGGAAAAAGCAAATCTACAAAAGGTGCAAAAGATAAGGACAAACACCCGACGAATTTATTACAAGAGGTAAAGTTTACTTAATATTTTTGACTTAAAAATCCTTTACTAATTAGAAGAAAAAAAATGTTCCAGGATGAAAGAAACAAATTCTACATTTGGTACGTTATGCCAAGAGATCCTTGGGATAACAAAATGATTGATGCAGTAATAACTCAGATGGCCAAAAATGATTTGGCAAAAAAGGCATTACGTACGTTTTTAAGATTTTGTGTAACAACAAGGTACGGGTATGCGATCATACTTGATTTAATTGTTCTTCAATTCCAAAATAGCCAGTGAAACTATTGTTACCCTGGATCTTGAGCCGAAAGCGTATTCCGTTCTTACACCGAAAAGCGTTCGCCCCAGTGAACTATTAACTACAGGTATTTTATTGATTTCTTAATTATACATTTTTAATTAGTTCATATTATTTTCTACTTTTAATTTGCGCTTATTTAAAGATGTTTACGACATCATGTCAATGCGACTTCAGGAAGAGGAGTCAACGTCGAAATCAGCTGAGATGAGCATCTCAAGTATCCCAGAAAGTCAGAAAGAGACAATGTCGAGTCAATCTGGAAACTTTGTGACCAAAGTTACTGACTATTCAAGTACCGATGTCACAAACACTTTCGTGTCGAATTTAATGCTTGAGGAAGCACTAAAACCGCGATGGATTTTGCAACCTAATGAAGTTCAACTTTTCAAGATGCGTTTTTCGCCCAAAAAGGTCGGCGTCTATCAACAGGAATTTGCAGTGACGATAATCGACAGTCCTGATACGACTTATCGTCTTAAGGTTCACGGGATCTCCGATATCCCTAGAATTATCATGGATCCCGCCCTAGTATTTCCTAAAGTAATCAAATAAATGTACTTATTACAAATTCATTTAACATATTTATAAGATAAAATGTGTTCATGACTATTGAGATTCTTCTGACCATAATCACTATTACCAATAGGTCGAAGACACGAAGATCGACGAATCAAACGACCCAACGTACTTCCTTGACACTGGAATATTTGATTTTGGATCTTTACTGATACAAAGAAAAGAATATAAAAAGTTGTATTTTTAACCCATTTCAAATGAGTATATTACGATGTGCAATTTTTCTCTTTTTCTTACATAATGTATTTTTTCTGTACAGAATTCACCTCCGTGAAACTCAGTGCACATTCTTCAATAATTCTACGATGACTGCTGTAGTGTCATTTTCATTGCAACATGAGAATTCGGATCATCGCGCCTTCGAATCACAACCCACAGAATTGCGAATTCCTGTACGTGAGAATATTTTAAAACACATTTTCACTTAATTTTATTCAATAATTAATTTGCTTAATTCTTGGGATCGTGCTATAGCCCGACATGTCTGGAGATATCCAAATATGGGGTGGAGCTTCAAAACTGGGTCCCAATCTTGGAAGGTTACTTATCTGCATTAAAAACAATCCAAAAGTGGAAATTATCGAGGTAAATGATTTAGTGTCCTGAAAAAAGTGTTGTAATTTAAATTGAATATCGATTTACTGGTTTCGTTGATTTCAAACAGCTACGAAGTTACGGTACCAAAGTCGACGTGGAGCTTGAAGGGAAAGAAATTGAATTCGACAAAATCCTGTTATACAGGAAAGAGACACGCAATTTAGTCCTGCGGAACAAATCCGCAATTCCAGTTTTCTGGCGTATTTATTCTGAAAATCCAATGGACACGCAGATAACTTGTTCGGAAATGAATGGACAACTTAAACCGTGGTCTGAGAGTACAATCGATTTCACTTACAACGCCAAAGTGGTGCGTCTTGTCCACATCGATGTTTAATTATTTTTCTATTAAAGTCTTTTTATATTTCGTGAATACTTTTTTTATCCAAAATAAATTTCAGGTTGGCACGATAGAGAAGATAACGATGATATTTCTGGTACTCCTCCAAGAAGAAGATACCGAGCCTTTATTCATGGACACGATCACTATATCCGGCGAAACGTACGACGTTGCAGTAGATGTCGATTCCGCAAATCCCATAAATCTGAAATGTGTGAAAGTCGGGTCAACGACTAGCGAAACCTTCACTGTAAAAAACCGAGGTCTCTACGAAGTTAAATTCATGTAAGGTCCTCCTCTCATGCTAGAGAAATCTAACTTACTTGATAGCTTGCCTTTCCTTCATTTCCCAATTTTTCTGAAAAGAATTCGCCTAGAGAAGGATGAAAAAATTGCCAAGATCCATCCTAATTTGCCAGAGAACTTGAAAGAGGATTTTACGATTCGTCCTGTCGCCGGCTCTGTACTTCCACAGAAGAGTTGTCAAGTACACGTAAGAATAATTATTTCGAGTTGTAATTGAATTCGGAATAAATATAAACGTGACTCTTAATCAACAGGTGATTTTCACACCTCGACATGAGATGACGCTTACAGAAGCACCTCTACTGAAATGTCACTTACTGGATACGAATAAGGATATCGCAGCAATTGCTGAATTTCCCCTGACAGTTTCGCTTGTATCATATTACACGAGGTAAATCATTCCCCGTTAACTTAATAAATATTAGAAAAAAAAATATTTCGGAACTGTTACTGGAATTCCGCATTAACGGCCTTCTCTTATGTTAACAGATTTCGTCTTCTGCCGTTTCCACTATTAGACTTCGGTACCGTTGGCTTGTGCACTAAGAAAACTATGTGCCTAAACATAGAAAATGTCGGGAAATTTCCATTTAAATACATGATTTTGTCAAACCGTTCCGATACACCTGTGTCGCAGTTAAAGCACTCGAGAAAGAAAACCGAGAAAAAAGATGGAACAGCCCCGAAAACGGATCGAAAATCTCCAAGAACCGAGAAGACTACAGCGAAATCGTAACTCTTCTTCCTTATATCTAGGTATAAAGATTTAAGAATATTATTTCTAGTCCTTTTGTCTATGCATCTCAGATCGGATGACATGGTCCTTAAAATGGGACCTTTCACGTTCTCAAAATCCGGAGGAGAAATCGAAGTAGGCACGACCGAGACTGTAACAATCGATTGCTATGCAGAAATTTCTGGTCTCTTGGAAGAAGAAATTCGAGTTTTAGTTCCTGATAGCGTGCCCCAGGACAGAAATGGGAAAAACATAATTCTCAAAGTGAACAGCTGCCTGCCAAAACTAGAATTCGAAGACCTGGATACGATGTTCCAAGAGAGCCACATTGTCGACGATATTCAAGACTTTCACTGTCCAAAAGAGGTACCTCTGTCGATAAATCCCTTTCTCGTGTAATTACAATTGTTACAAAAATATACTCCGTTATCAGGCAACAGGACACGTTGTCCTGGCTAGGCAAGAAAACTGCCTTTACTTCCGAAACGTCTGTGTGCTCAAAACGCAAACCACTTGCTTTAAACTTCATAATCCCGGAGTGGTTCTAGTAGACGTAGAAGCGAAAATCCGATATGAGAATCCATTGACAAAGGATTCCTTTTTTCGCGTTTTTACTGTGGAACCCACCAGAGAGTGTATTCCTCCAATGAGCAGTAAATCCTTCGCTATCTCTTTCAAGCCGTCTATAATACAAGTGAGACAATAAATAATAAGCTTTCACTATATTGACATATTTCTATCACTTTGAAATCTTATTTCAATTTTTTAATACAGACTTACACCGCGGTACTCGAAGTCACCCTCGACCTGCCACTATCTCTGAGGAGTGATGGACTTTCAATCAAACTCGTAGGAGAAAGCTGCGTTCCAGAAATTACATTAATAGAACCATGCCTACCATCAAGATCGGGAAGAGCTACGATAAATTTTGGAAGAACTCTCCTAGACGATACAGGACACAAAAGTTTGTGCTTTGAAAATGTCGGTACCCTCGAGACCAAAGTCATCGTAGAGATTTCCGATGATCCAAATTATCTCTTCTACTTCGAACCACACGCGGAGTCCAAACACCTGCTTTGCATGTGGGATTACCATGACGGCGAAGGTACCTCCAAAAAATAGGATAATCATAAATTAAATGCTATCGATAACAACATTGTTGCAGAATCAAATGACCGGTGTACAGTTTGTCGCCTTACTCCTGGTGACGTGGCCAGTTTCGATATTATTTTCCAGCCATCGGATGTTGGAAAATGCGAAGGACAAATACGTCTCGCCATTGTGGACAATCCTTACGAAAATATAATAATTGATCTCGATGGAGAATGCTATCTTGAGACGATCATCTTCCAAGGATTACAACTCGCTGAGAAGGACAAAGTGAGTCGAAAAGACAGTACTTTGGAAAGTGGTCAAAAAATGCGCAAGCTCAGTGCGAAGAATATCAAAACCGGGACTCCTTCTAGACGTGCGTAGATTACACTCTATTTTTTCAAAAAACCTATCTAGGAACTTTTTCACAAGTATCGCAAATTCAACAGGTACATCCGCAATTCTTGCCGGAGTAGTCCTCGCGTACAAGCTAGACTACGGCACTTGTTTCCTAAACAAGATGAAGAGAATTAGCTTCAAAATCATCAACAAATCCGATTATCAGTATTTCCGCTTTGAGTGGAGTTCGCATCCCAATGTGGTATTTGTGCCATCGATTGGTCACCTCGAACACAAGGGAACTAAAGAAATAGTTGCAACGTTCCTAGCTTCGGAGCCTATGATCCTCACTCAAGTATTTCAATTCCCCAATTAATATTCATAACACTCGTCAAAAAGTGCCTTGATTCTGTGTAAGGGATTGTCGCCCCCGGGACAATAGTTAATTCCTGAAGAAAATAAAAAATCTGGACGAAATTGATTGAATTTTCTGATAGAACACTATGTCAACACTGATTGTGTCTAATTATATATTTAATGTCGCAGGTTATGCTAGATTGTGTCATTAATGAGATCACATTATCGGGATCCGTGGACCAAATGTTTTGGGACGACAGACAAACTAGTGTACAATGGATTAAGTCAAATTCTGGATCTTTTAGTCAAGGAAGTTCTGAACACGTCCTGTCAAAGAAAGTCGTCGAACCTTCAGACGAACCAGAACATACTCTCATTCCAGGCACGACTCGAATTATCCAGCTGCAATTATTTGCTGTTGCTGCATATTCTGAGTATTCTTGCTCGGAGAAAGAAATCCGTTTTGATGACACATTAATGCTCCAGGTGATTGTAACCTAATGCTTTCAATTCGTTGAACCCATTAAATTGGATAAATGATTTAATTATTTCTTTAGTCACAATCCCGTAGCTTTAAATTAAACAATCCGGGAACTGTGGAGCTGAGGTACTCCTGGAACCTGAGTATGGATGAGCAATATCCAAAACGTCTAAGTGACCCAGCAATGAAATCATTCCTCAATTCGAGATCCAGTGAAGACTTGACATCAAGACCTAGTTCCAGGTCCTCGAAAGGAGTTCTTTACCCTCTCGATCACAATTGTCAAGAAGACGGATTTTATGCTACCAGGAATATCTGTGATAACAACACTCACAGTCACAAAGTGACAGATCTTTTCAGCAGCACTGCAGCCAGAACGAATAGAAGTACCGATACCTGGCTCGAAAGTGATCAATTGCCGTTTCACATTGAACCAGAAAATGGAGTAATTCTTCCTGGAGGATCCATTGAATGTATCTTGACATTTTACCCTGTGGATGTTTTTGAATACAAAGCTTATCTCGACTGCAAGTGAGGATCCTTCCTGATACACATTGTACAGGAGAAAGATATTTCTAATCATCATCTTCATGATGGAAATCCTTTCAGGATCGAGAACCTGAATCCTGACCTGGACTCGCCGGAGATAACTATCACAGGAAGAAGTCTTCTTCCTTATTGTCACTTTGATCTATCCGAGAGCAATTATTTGACCAGTGGAAGAAGAGATCCTGCTATGCCTGGACCAAGAATTGCTGAAGAGGATGAAGATGTTCTTCCCTCGACCACCAGAGTTTTGGAATTCAACGTGATTGGAATTGGCGAACATCACGTCAAGTTCGAATTTCTCATTTAAATTTAGCATCTACGGGAAAAATTGAATATCAGAAACTTGGAAATAAAAATAAAAATTTCAGCTTCGATCAATCTAATCAGCTCTGCTTTTTTTTCACAGAAAATTCAATTTGATCAACCCAACTGCGGAGGATTACCGATTCTCCTGGATTGACATTACTCGAAATAATCGCAGCGAAGTATCGTACTTTCATTGCGTTTTTCCCGAAGGAATAGCCAAACGTGGAAAATATACGGAACAGGAGTTCACATTTCTGGCAGATGATGTCGGAACCTTCGAATCCTTTTGGCTGTTCGCCGTTGATAAGTATCAACTCGAAACTCTATTTCTGCTTGTTGGTATCGTCAAGGAACCGTCAGTTTGCGTTTTAACTACCCATTTGAAAATGAAACCCACTACTTTAGGCAAGACTCTCTATCCATTCTTTTACTTTTGAAAATTTCTATAAATTATCCATTAAATAATTGCAATTTTGCAGGCGTAAAAACGTATGAGGATATGATCCTTTGTAATAATGAAGAGTTCCCCCTACCCTTTAATATCATCCCCGACTCCCTCTTTTCTCAAGGGCGATATCAATGTTTAAAGATCGAACCAAAATCCGGAGTATTAGAACCAAATTCGAAATGTACATTACGGTAACAAAATAAGCAGCAATTATGTCACGATATTTTTTTTTTCAAGACAGATAATTCAAATGAATGCTACATCTTTAGTTTACTACCAAATCTAGAAATTTAATTTTAGAGTTGAATTCGTACCAACCCTTCCTGGAGAATGGGAATTTCCAGTAAAATGTCGCGTTAAAAAAATGAAAAACTTCTTGACTGTCTTAATCACCACGACTACTTACAAATTAGTACCTGTCATCACATACGTGAATACTAAAGAGAAATCGACGATGATACAACACGATCGGGATAATGTAATCGATTTTGGGAAGGTGAGATTATTTCAATTTTTCAAAATCCCACATTTTAAATTCTACATTTTTTCCAGCTGATGATAGAAGTTCCAGTGAGCTATAAATTTATCATTGAAAACTCCGGAGAAATATCATTTCGCTATTTCTGGGATCTTAGAGAGACCCTTGAAGGGATGGATAAAAATGTGTACACCATTTTTGTATCGGAAATGGAGGACGAAGTCCACGTAAAATCTCAATCCGTTTGCCATCTGGTTCTGAACGTTTTTCAGAAAACAGTAATAAAAAATCACTTGATCACGATAAAGGTACGTTAGACTTTTTGATATGTCCCCTTTCGCGTAATTAACAATTTAATTTAATTTCAACAGATTGATCGAGGCCCGACGTATCGATTACTCTTAAAGGCGACGACAAAACGATCTTTTTTCGATCTCAGCTTCGACCACTTTGATTTCGGTCCTCGATACATCCAAAAAGATAACGTAGCGCCCTATCGTGTAGAACTTCAGCTTACAAACTCCGAGAAGTTGCCGTGCATGTAACTGTTAATTTTCTATTTCTTATCATAATTAATTTTCCTAGAATATCAATTATCTATTTTTTTATGCCAGTGTCGAGTGTAAGCTCGAGGATGTACCGCATTTTTCGGTGGAATTGGACCGTCTCTCCCAAGCTGTTGGTTCTAAATCATCAATAATCTTTCCTATCATTTTCCGACCATTAGAATTAAAACGTTATACCGAGACATTGACGTTTGTAATCAATTCCTCGATAGAGAAGTCGATCACAGTCACAGGAGAAGGAATTCTGTACAAGGTAACCGAATTACTAGATAACGCTATAAATAACTAAGTCATTTCTATAATTCAGGAGAATAAGCCAAACTGATCAGCCATGAAAGAATAATTCCAATCATCTTCAGATTCACTTGGCGAACTCGCGTGACAAGTCCATCGATTTCGGAAACATTCCAGTTGGGAAATCTGTTACGAGAAAAATCGCGGTGATAAATTCTGGTCGTGCTCCGGTTAAACTAATGTTCAACCTCTTGAACAACCTGCCTCGTTACGATTTCTACGAAGAAAAAAATCAACCTTGCAGCGCTTTAATGAGCACCAATGAAAAATCAAAGAAATCAAACGGTGAAGATCTACCGAATAAAATGAAAAGTCTTACGAAGGAAGTGGAACTCGTCGAAAAGTCATCGATTCTACCCCTCTCGGAATTCCTTACCATTTCCCCGCTCGATTCAGCCCTTTTGTATCCGAATAAGCAAATCGAGATCACCCTAAAATTTTCTCCCAAGAAGCGAATGAAGCCATTCATTGAAAAATTTGCTGTTCAACTGGACTCGACAATTATGCCTCTCTCAATTATACGTGGCAGCTGTATAGGAGCTGAATTTCAATTGAATAGAAATTATTTATCTTTTGGGGTCGTGGTTGAAGGCTGCGCTTGTGAAACAAAATTAATGCTGTTAAACCCTGGCGATGTGGGAGCCAGGTACATTTCCTAATTTTTTATTATGATTAGAAACGTTTCACTAGCGAACCGTGTCAGTTCATGAGAAGAGTAACATATTTATTAATATTTACTAATATCAAGTAAAACTAGTACAGCATGAAGCGTTATTTTAGGTTCAAGTGGAATGTCAGTAAATTGCAGCCACATTTTAGTTTGACACCTCTGACAGGTTACTGCTCTCCTGGCATGGACATTACTTTTATCGTTATCTTCAAACCAGCCCATCAAGGAACCATCCTAGAAGGCGAAGTAAATTGAATTACTTGAAACAACGTCGATTTTTAAAACGATACTAAACCCGTTGACTTGTTCAGGCTACAATTGAAGTCGAGAAATACAGAAACTTTGGCGTAAAGATGACAGGAAGTTGCTCCAAATTACCGGAACCAGTCGATAAGATAACTCTTGTTGTTCCCGTGCGCAAACAAATTACGAAACAAATTAGCATCTCTAACGATTCAGTTCGCACCTGGGAAGTGGAAGTCGTCATAACTGGAGACTACTTTTCCGGGGAAAATATCATAGAAATTCCAGCGAAGAAAACAAGCCTGTATGCGGTTACTTATGCTCCACTCGTGATGAACAACGAGAGCGATCCACATAAAGTAACGAAAGTTTCAATCAAAGTATAATTTTCAGTGCAATCGTAGTTATGAATTTTGCAAATTTTAAACCCTCTTAGGGATCGATACTGTTCAAGCTGCCTGAAGGTAAAACTCCGATTCTTTTTACCCTCATTGGTATCAGTCAGCAACCAGAACCTAATGACAAGATCAATCGACAAATCCCTGCTACCACTAAGTACACGGAATTGATGCCAGTTTATAATTGGTTGAACCGGCAGCAGCAATTTGACTGTAAAATAGAATCGTTGAATGAGCTAAAGGCAAGTTAAAAAATTATGCCAAATGCTTTCAGGGTGAATAAGAAATGCGAAGTTAACTAATTTCAGCACGTGATTATATACACCTTAATATCGTTAAAAATGTCATTTTTTAGGACCAGCCAATTTACACCTTCACTGGAAACAATCGACTGGATGTGCCTGCTAAAGCACACCGTGATTATCGTGCTTCATTTCTCTGCTACAAAGAGGCAAACTTCCACTTCAAAGTAAGCATTGCACCCAGATCTCTTCGAATTTACAGGAAAGAAATCATTAAAAAACGCCTTTCGTTAATGACATGTCAATGACAGGTGACATTTACGAATTCGGAGGGCGAATACCAATATTACGACGTTCAGTATAAAGTGACTAAACCTGAAATACTAGAGTCAATTAAATTGACGACGACTATTCGAACACCAGTGTGTCATTTATTGCACCTGTCCAATCCATTGACCGAACGATCAGTGTCATATACTGCGAATTGTCGCAACGACGACATCACGATTCACGGTGTACCAAAGATTTTGCCTCCCATGTCAAATGTAAGTCATGATAACAGGATATCAGATCGAACATCCTGCGCTGTTTCATTTTCTGATTTCAGGACAGAATCAAAATCGAATTCTTTCCATTGATTCCTTCAGAAGAAATAACCAAGCTGGACATACATTCGCCGGAACTTGGAAACTTCCCATATGAATTACGTCTTAAGGCGAATGCCGCCCCAGCAGAGAAAGCTACACACGTTAAAGCTTTTCTGGGAAGTTCCACAAATTTCTACATTCCTATAAAAAATCACAGCAAAAAGATCGCAGACTTCACCGTGAAGGTAACTTCAAAAATATAAATCCTGAGAGTATTTCTAAAGTGGTCCTTCACAATTTTGGGCACACAAATTTTTATCTTTTTTGGCAATGGACCATTTCGTACAGAATGGAATAATTTCTTTTTACAGTTGGAGGATCCTTCCTTCACCTGTGACAAGATGATAAGCATTCCAGCTTTCAAGGAAAGCCATTTAGCCATTATTTACGAGCCTTGTGACATAGAAAATGTCACGACTGTTATCACCGTAGCCTCTGATACCGCAGGTGAATTTCTGTGAGTACAACCGTCGACTTATACGATTTTAAGTTCGCTATTGTATATTGTTCGATATACGGCGTTGAAAAAATATTAATTATTACGTTATGTATAATACTTTGTAGACTTCCTATCATTGGCACATACATTTTGCCTAAGCCACAAGGTCCTTTTATCATCAAATTCGACGAATCCTGCTCGATTCCCTTCAAGAACGTCTTCAAAGATACAAAGACATTCAACTTTGTCGTGGACGATCCCCAAGTGTTTGTCCTAAAAACTACTGCTGAAACAATCGATTCTAAAAAGGTACTCCGAATGGTACAAGCAATATTTTAATTACTATTCATTGACTAAAAGAGAATATTAATTTTCAGAGTGTCAACATAATTGTAAACCTTTACAGTAATGAATCAAGTAATGAAGAAATTTCCTTTGCAACGAAATATCCCGTAACTGGAAAACTAATAGTGTGCTGTACTGATCCATTTCTTGCTCACGTTAATTGGACGTACTACTTAAGAGAGGATATTAATTAAAATCTTACTAATTTTCATGAATTCATACACGCCTGAAAATATACATAACGCTCGTCATTGTATTTGCAGTTGCCACGAGATAATAATTACCTTATTGCTAATCCACTAAATTTCTCGCTTGAATATCGCTCGCTTTATTCATAATTTTTAATTATCGACTCATCAATCCATATAATAATCTCATTTTATTAATTAATGCAGTTGAAATTTATAAATTGAAACACTCGTGTGATTGTTCAATGTCTGCATAGTTCGGTGTACTTCTTGAAATTACTGAACCAATTAAATCTGTGGTCCTCCACTCTTTGCTCTTTATATATATCATCAGTCTCATTTTACTTCTTTAAGTTAGAAAACTCTAGCAAAAAAGCTTCATTCCTTATTTTTTGTGTGTAATCTCATATGTTTCTTGAGATTGTCCAGTCGGTTACATCGGCGATCGCAGAAGTCGCATTGGAATGGCATAGAATTACTGTGCACGACCACGTGGCCATTTAAGTGACTTATCTGTTTAAAACGTTTCTCGCAGATTGTGCAGGCATAGGGTCGTTCGTTCATGTGTGCCGAAGCAATGTGAGTTTGGAGATTCGTTTTTCTTACAAACGTTGCCTTGCACACATCGCACTCAAAAGGACGGACATTAGCATGGATAGCCAGATGGGACTTCAACACGTTTTTGTGTTTGAAGTTCTTGTCACAAAGATGACACTGAAAAGGTCGTTCGTCATTATGCACTTTTTTATGCACTGACAGATGAGCGAGTTGTTTAAACATCTTGGCACAGATCTCGCACTGATAGGTCCGACCATCCTCGTGAGCTGCACTAATGTGTCGCCGTAAAGTATCGGCTAGTGTATACCGTTTACCACAAATCTTACAAGAATAAGGACGTTCATTTGTATGAGTCATAAGATGCCCATTGAGATTACGCTTCTCTAAAAACCTGGCTCCGCACACGTCACATTGATAAGGCTTTTCACCGTTATGGATATACATGTGTTTCTTCAGTGAATTTGCTAAACTGAAGCGCTTCGAACAAACTGTGCACTCGAATCTTCTTTCACCGGTGTGTACCAACATGTGAGATTTCACATGGCCAGCTTGCTTGAAACGTTTGCCACAAACTTTGCAACCAAACTGCCGTTCATGAGTGTGAGTGAATATGTGACGTTCCAATACGCTCTTCGTTGTGAAAACCTTCTTACAGCTATCGCACTCAAAAAGACGAAAGACTTCTTTTGGCCTGTACGATTCTGATTCTCCCTGGTGTGTTTGAGTGTGAGTCTTCAGGGTGTCCAGTGATTCGAACTTCACTCCGCACACCCCACACAGAAAGGATCTATAATCAACATGTGTTATTGAATGCTGACTTAGATGACCTAACTGTTTAAAACTCTTTTGACAAATTTGACACACGTAGGGTCTCTCGTTTGTGTGTGATCTGATGTGTCTCTTTAAAACACTTGGGAACTCGAATTTTTGTTCGCAATATGTACATTCTAATAAAGGTGCGCCATTAGACTTTGTAGTGCGAGACTCTCTGAATTTTCGTTTAACTAGTAGGCTAGCGCGTTTCATTAATTTACTGGTTTTGTTCATGGATGTTATTCCATCTTTCTGGGAAAGTCGTGATATAGAGGTTCGATTTCTTTTGGAGGTTTTGGTAGATTGTAGCTCTGTCTTTTTTAATCTAGTTTGCAAACTGCTTTCCTCTAATTCCTCATGCACCTTCTTCTCTGTCTTTATGGTAGACTCGAAACTGGTAGTTTCAAAAATATTTTTCTCATTGTGTACTTCTTCCATGTGTTTCTCAAACTGATCTGAGGCACGAAATGTTTTCTGGCAGAATCTACAGTCAATTCGACCCGCACTCAAGTGGGCTTTTATATGATTTTTTAAGTGGCCCAATTTCATGTATTGTTTTTCACAAATTTTGCATTTAAGATGATACTTATCAATGATAATCTTTAATTTCCGAGCAGCTAAGTCTGTTTCTTCCTCTGACAGTGAATCATCCAATTGCCCTCCACTTAATACTTCGGTTCTGACATTGACAAAATCAAAAACGTTAATACTGTCATTACGTACAACCAGTCTATCTGTATCAGCCCCATATTGCATGTCGTATGAATCATTTCCTTCTACATGATAACGCTAAAAATAAAATAGAAAATCACTAATTATTTTTTATACGTAAATTAATAACAATTGGAAAGTATTAAAATTACACCTACACTTTCGACATCCTTGTCAATTTTAACATCTACAACTTCCATAGCATGACAGTTAACAAATACTTTATTAATATTGGTGTCTGTATTGTCGACAGCATTTGCTAAATCTTCCTCTTTTAAAATACTTCTCGACGAATTCTTAGGGAGAGAAATCTTAAATTCTTCGTATATATTGTGTCCAAATAGCAAATTAGAAGGTGTCTTACCATTTCTACAATAAAAAGTTGCATTTTCAATTATTTGAACGGCTTTGAGACCTTCGAACCATAGTTTTGATGGATTCTTAGCCAGCCAAGAAGCCACTAGCTTTTTAAAATCCCTGTGGTCACCGCATATTAAAACATTTTCATGAATTATTTCAATATCTTGCCATAATACTTGTAATTCATGTACAACTGCTTCAGCAAAGTCGCAACCATTTCCACTTTGTAAAACTTTAGGTGCTCCAATTATCGCTAGTGCATCTAGCAATTTATATGCTACTTCCTTCACGGTACAACTTCGTAGTGCCTTAAGTACAATAAATTTGGAGAATTGTTCCTCGTACACCATGAGATATTTATAACTTACTGATTTCTCTTCATGCATGTCAATTACATCCAATTGTCCCCGATGATTTATTTTTCTTGGTTGTAAACTATATGAATTATTGCTACCTTGTCTTTCTCGACAGGATAAGTCATTAGGCTTCTGTTGTACTTGATGTACATTTTTATTCTATAGAAAAATATGCATTGATTAATTATCACATGAAAAGGTTCATACCCTGAAAGGATTATACTTCTTAAACTTTCATTAATTAAATCCTCAAAGGAGGAAGAATGTTGATTCTCGTATGTATTACTTACTCGTTTAGAGTTAAACATTTCCGAATTTAACTTTGGTTCTATACATTCAGAACGTATACCATCAATGACAAAATTTACATCTTTAATTGATGAATAACGAGAATCCAGTTTCTCATTCACCAAAGGATGTAGTCCATTCGTTACATTGAGTTTTACTGGCATCCATTCATTTTTTACACTAATTGCTGAATCCATTGTCTTTACTTTCTAGGTGTAAAGATGCCACAAATCATATTGTGTTAAGAAATTTTAATTAGTATTTTAAACACCCATAAACAATCAGATTTGTGCTCACATACTCTAAATTCGTGGTTGCTGGCTATAGAATCATTACATACGCGCAAGGCCCGGCATCACTTATTGAACAATACGTCAAATCGATATTTGTGAAAATTTGACATTCCACAACGACGCTTTCGATCGGCATACCTAACCTACAAATTTGTTCCTATCGACCTATTGTATACAATAAATCTACCACAATTAAATATGCATACATATATTTTAACGCAGAATTCATGATTTCTTGTGTTTCATGAACATTCTCGTTTACTCGTTTAAAAGCCGAGTTGTCACATTTAATATTTGTTACTCATACCACAGAGTAGTAAAGAGCACCCACTCTATATTTCGCACTTGACAGCGGCCTATCGGCTAATTTGGGAACGAAAAAATTTACTAGGTAACTCTGAACAGAGATGAGTTGAGAGATTCACGGGAAGGATCGAGCGACTGCGTCCTGTGCGACCTCTGATGGAGGATGCAGACGGCTAATGAACTTGCCACCTGTTACAACACTGGACAGCCCGAGAACCGGCTGAAAAAGTGATGAACTCCTCACAAAAACTCTAAATCCGGTGTCTCCTCCAAAAAAAAATCATAGCCACAAGCTCGAGAGATCAATCTATCCTGGGGAAATGGAGCATGCTATGTTAAACGTGGAGCAGTTTCGATATTCGGCCGCTAGGCGGCAGGTGCAAATTTTGAGGCATGGGCATTCTTTATTACTTGCTGTTAATCTCTGGTGTCGTCAGGATTGCTTAGCAGGAGACGTGTGTATTTTTGTAAATAAATAATTATAAAACAAAGCCGTCAAGATGACTATGGCAATGCTACAACGTCGAGCCAACGTAAGTTAAAATAAGACATTGAAAGTCTGAATTGCATCTAGAAATTTCTGAACAACTATCACACCCTTTTACTAACTTCTAAACGTTGTTTGGTTACTGAAAATATTAATATTAGAATTCTTTTGTAGGTAAGGCTGCCTCCAGAAGTGAACAGAGTTCTGTATATTAGAAATTTGCCCTATAAGATTACAGCCGAAGAGATGTACGATATCTTCGGCAAATACGGAGCTATAAGGCAAATCCGAGTGTAAGCTGAAATGTTTTATTACTTCGTAATTCTTTACCGATTTAAAGTTTGAGTGGTAAACTCCGTCGTTCTAACGGTACAATCACAATTTCAGTGGAAATACAGCAGAAACAAGGGGAACGGCATTTGTGGTATACGAGGACATATTCGATGCAAAAAATGCATGTGATCACCTTAGTGGATTCAACGTTTGTAACCGTTACCTCGTGGTATTATATTATCAGAGCAACAAAGCATTCAAACGAGTGGACGTCGACAAGAAGATGGAAGAAATTGATAAGCTTAAGACCAAGTACAACCTAAACGAGGAGAAAAAAACTTAGCGTTAATAAAACATAGGTAATCATTCATACTATTTATATTCCAAAAGTAAGGTTAACTTGGATGCGATACGTGCGAAACAAAGAGATGCAGTAAAGCGACAACGATGTATCGTTTTACACAATGGACAATGTAAATATACCGACAAGCTTTACTCCGTCCTCTACAAACCTATCGACGATCGAAACAAAGACGGTCACAAAGTGACGTTACATTTTTGCGAGCCAAAAACACGGAACAAAAGGAAGGAAATAATCGCGAACAATGTAGTGGTGGCATGCTAACCGCATCGAGTGCCAAGGGAGCGTCAGGATTCCCGGACGAAAATAAATATCGAACGCGCGTCCGAATCAACTTTCGCCTTTCACAAGTCCTATAAAACTTGGGCGGCAACGCGTAAATACGCGTATATGAGGACAAGTTATACACGGACAACCATGTACTATAGGTTTTCGTTTCTCCGGGTTAAGAGGGAAGGGGCTGGTTCATTTCGACGACGGTCGCTGAAATATTGCGATAGCCTTCGAAGCGAAATTTACCGACTTTGATTTCGGTTTTAATACCCGGCCGGCGACCGATAGGCCGCCCGAAGCAAGTACTCAGCGGGAGAGTATTTTCGTGCCTAACGCGATCGGTCGTTCCTCCCCCCCGTTCCGCTGGCCCCGGGAGAGGAGATAAAAAATCAAAAAAGAAGGAGAAGCGAGAAGCGAAAAAATGTCGACGCATTAAAAGGCTGTAATTAATACGACTTTCACAATCGCTCGCGGAGTGGCATTCCTCCGGCTCCCGGGGACCCCGGGATGATCGCCGTGCGGTATCGCATGGTCCGCCGACTATGGACCACGATCCTACAACGGACTCTTTATGCCCGAGATTAATTCTCCGGGGAGCGTTTCGTTAGCGCGGAAACGCAAACGCGATCATTCTTCACGGGATGCGTGCCGAAACGAGCTTCCCCCTGCGCCGGGCGTGCCCCCGAAGTCGGCAACGGCAATCGAAGATCGATCCAAGATCGATCCAAGATGGCGGCAGCCGACGCAAGGGAGGACTCTCGGTTCCCGAAATCCCATTCATTCTACGCCAAGTTTCGAGACCCGAGTACTTCTCAACGAGCCAAGGGGCACAATTCAATTGAACCAATCATAGTTTTCATGAATTAACCGCGAATTCGAACAATGTCCGAAGATACAAGTGAGTATCCTCCGACCTCCGGTTCACAGCGCGGGAGGCAGTACGAGCGCCCTTTAGACTTCTACATCGGAAAAAAACCGGCGGATTGGTATCTACCCGGTAAATATTCGCAATATTTTTCTTTTCCTCTTTAAGAGAGATAGTATCCAGGAATAATTCACCGGGCGAGCGAGTCTCGGTAACCCGAATTCCCGAGGTCGGTCGGAGTGACGCTCGCCGGCGAAGTTGATTTTTCGAAAGGCCACCGGGCCGGCACTTTCCGACACCTGTGTCGCCGGGCGCGGCAACGCGACGGTTTGCGTAAATCTCGGCCGAGCACAATGAAGCGACGCGCCCACGCGCCTCGGGTCGCGGGGAACGGTCGCCAGGTGGGTCGGCGCATTCCGGGGCTCGCGATTCTTTATTCCGGCCGTCTTTTCGCGGGGCTTTCAAAAGGACGGTGGATGGCCGATCATAGACGAAGTTCGACGAAGCTCGGTCGGGTGCGCAGTCCGCCGCGCACGGCGCCACGGCCGCGCGCAGCGCCGCCGGCGTGAGCCGCGTTCGATTCCGGTCGAAAGCGAAAACCCGCGCGGCAGTCGACTGCGCGGACTCGTGGCGTCGTCGGGGCTCCGAGAGAGGCTTTCGAGAAGCGTCGGGTAGGACAAGGGGACGGGTGAGCTCGCGTCGCAAATGTCGTATGAGTGCTGTGGCGACGGGCGGACCGCCGGCAGAACGTTCGCGGCGTCTCTAGAGAGGTTGGCGCGGCTGGTACGACTCGCCTGCGAGGGGGCGCTCGAGGCGCTCGACCGCCGGCCGGCGGCGCTCGCCGCGGCCTGCGGGCTCGCGGCCCTGGTGCTCCTCGCGCGACGCCATTGGCTCGCCAGCCCCGCTTCCCATTGGTCGAGCGCCGGCCGGCCGGTCGCCGTCGTAACGCCGGGCGACGCCGCGGCCGCGACAGTCGCGGCCGCGTCCGGCCGCCGGCTACGCGGCCGTCAGTGAATCGGGAGGGGATGAGCCGGCCGTGTTGTGACGGGTCGCCGAGCCGAGCCTCCTGCTTCCCCGCTCGCCCGATAAGGAGGAATTGTGGGTTGCCCCCCGAGTCGATAGCCGACCACGCGGCCGCCGGCCCTCTCGCCCCGGGGCCCTTTTTAGCCGTCGAGGTGTAAATGCCTCCGCCCTCTGTACATACGTACATATATTTTTCAATCCCATTGCCCGATCGCGCTCGCAAGCTGTACCCAAACGCGCAGATCGAACCGAAAAATAACGTCGAGTCAGGTTAATTATATTTACATACATATATTAATTTATACACATTGTAAATTTAATTAACATCGGATTTGCAAATTTCAGGCTATGTCAGCTGATTTTTTTGGCTTGGAAGGAGTTACTTTCCCGAGCGTCTTATTTCTTTGATGGTGAGTTGGAACCCATGGCCCAGCCCTGGACTAACCCCCTGGGTAATGGGACAGGTCGCGGTGGACCTCGGCGACGCCGGGACTTGTCCCGTTCCGGCGCATTACGCGTTATTCTAATCCCTGCGTTTGCGTTTGCGGTCGACGAGCGTGACCGACCCCTTAATGGATTCCGGGTTCGGCGGTGCCGGTGATCGGGGGTTCTCGCGAGCGGAGACGCGCGAACTCGTCGAGACGGTCTTAGCTCGCTAGGCGAGGCCAGGTCACCGCGGAGGGGCGAGCGTGTTTGTTCGACGTCTGGATAAATATGTCGCGCGCCGCTACCGGCTTCTGCCGTTCCCTCGCTCCCGGTCCCGGCGTCGCGACGCGGCGCGCCGTTTCGCCGATTGGCGGGACGACGTCGGCTGATCGCGTTTTTACGCTATAGCTCCCGTCCCTGGCGTCGCGGCGACGAATCGATTCGCGACTCGTCGCGCCCTCGGCGGAGAGGCGCGTCATTTTAAAAACGCGAATTTTTTTTTTTTTATTAATAAAATCGCCGTAGCGACTCGCGTTTTTTTTCTTTTTTTTTTTTGAAAAGATATGCCGCCTCGACCTCGACGCGCTTCTCGCGGAAGAGGGGCCGCATCTTGCACGAGGAAATTATTTCTCGTAACGATTGTCGTTGGCATGCATGGGCCGTACATTTGCGGTCGCGCATCGTTATATGGGGATAATGAGAAATCTATCGTGACGCCGTTTAGTGCACGGTGGTACCTCCTAGGGACTCTCGGGACGGCGGGGATCATTTTTATCCGACTTTTCGTCCGTTGCCCTCGGCTATCCCCGGAAACTTCGAGATCGGCCGTCGCGAATAATGGCGGAGGGCGGTCGCTGAAAGTCGGACAATGTAGTCCGGGTAATTAGTATTCGCGCCGGTTTCAAGGTTGCTTCCTTTTGATTCCAGACGCCACGGAGTTTCTTCTGCGGGGACGCTCGGTCTGCCGGGGCAATGAGGTGAGTCGTCTCTTCCTTTTTCTTCTTATTTGTCCTCTCTACGAGTATATACCTCTGCAACGACGCAAATCCCCCGCACGGCGCTTTTTTAGGATACGGGTGGCACATGCGTAGTCCGTCTCGTAGAGGGCGTGCGAAGAGATACGAAACGTTTCCGGCTTCGACGTTGCCCGTCCCGACCTTCCTCTTCCGAGACGGAGGAACCGGAGGAAAAAGCTCGCGCGCATATTTTGGCACCAGGCTTGTATCAGCGGTTTCGCACGTCGCAATTCCCCGCCACGCTTCCCGATGGACGATCGATCGATCCCCGGAGAGAAAGTCCGACGTTAACCCCCTCGTATCACCGAAGATAGATTGAGCACGAGGTTACGTATGCTAATCCCCTGTATATTTTACGTCCGCACGGCGGTTTCTCCGGTCAGTCGGTTAAGTGGTTAATTTCGAGGCATGGCGCGAAACTCGACGGCGTGGGGTCAATTTCGCGGTCCCATGGCGAATGAGAGACTCGGGACTCCTGGGATAAAATTCCCCGGGGAACCCGCAGAGAACCTCTGCGGAAGATGGACCATCCGCGCTAAGCGGATGCGGTGACTCCGCACGGATCCAGATAAACGGTAACGTCAATACGCAGCCTTCGGGCCTGGAGTCACGGCACCCCGACGCGGGGCGCACGCGGCATGTGGAGCCACGCGTGAAACACTTTGCACCGCGTATAATTCGCCGAGGAGAGAGGACTGCGTGCCGGGTCTCGTTTGCGGCTCGGCCGCAGCCCCGCAGCCGGGATCGAGACGGCAGATGCGCGAATGACGGATCGTCCGACCGATTGATCCGACCATGTCAAATTAACCCATTTGCGTCGTCGCTCTAAATGCCCGTGTACTTGAAAAATCCGACTCTTGGTGATAAGCAACGGTTATCGTTTGCGGATCATTCCGTCAAATGACGCAAATGGGTTAAGGAGGAAGAAACGCCCTGGAACGCGCGATCGTTTTCTCGGCTGAGATTTTTTTATAACAATAAAATTTCTTCTCTTTTCCCACCTGCGCCCACCTGATCACAGGGGACAGGTAGGGTGGCATCGTTAGAGAGTATCCTCTGCAGGGGAATTTTTTTAATTCGGCGAGATTAGGGAAATGGGTATTATTTTCGAGCGACTAACCGGGTCAGGGTGAAAGCGTGCTTATCGCCGGTCGAATGATACATCCCATCCGGAGGTGGCTTTCTGGAACTTCGGGGGCAACCTTGCGTCCCTTATCGCGCCCACTTCCTCCGTCCATTATCCACGGGATTCTATTCCCCGCGTTACGTTACGCAACGCCGCGTTCTAACGCCTGGCGTCGTCGGGATGGGAGGGAAGTCTTTCGAGGAAAGGTGGATGGCGAGCGGGGACGATTTCAAAATCGCAAACCGGGTCATGGTGAATAGGCGCTTATCAGCCACGGGGGAGGCACGAGGAGGACGAGGAAAATGAGGAAAACGAGGAAAGTCGTTGAATCGCGGCCCCTCCGCGCGGGGTTATTTCTCTTCGGGCGGAGGGCTCCTGTTTTTTTTCTCTCTTTTTTCTGCCTTCTTTCCCCACTCTCTCGCCCGACCCGAGAATCGCGGCCGATTTTCGACCGACAGTCGGCGCGAATCCGACGCGTTGCGAAACGGCGCATAAATCGCCCCGAGGCATCCGCCTTCCGCACTCGCGCCCGATCCGGCATTCGCGTCGGACGATCGTGACGAATTTGAAACGCAAAACGCGCGGTGGGAGGTGGCGGAACGAGTCGTGGCCACTTTCTACGGGCATATATTTTCGAACGGTGAGCGCCGATGAATAATTAACGCGACGCCCCGAATCTGCGCGTCTCCGGAGACGCGGCAATAACCCGCGGGTTGCGAAGGTGGGGGTCGGGGGAGACGAGATGGCGGGGCGCGGGCAGATCAGCTGATCGAGTCCAAGAGGCTCTCGCCGGATCGATCGAAATTGAAATCGGGATCCCTTCCCACGGCATACGCCGACTCGGCGAGTCCAAGAAGTCAATTTGCGGAATGTACGTGCCGGCGCGAGGCTACCATTGATACAAATGATCTCTTCCTTTCCCCCGTCGAGGCGATCGACCTGAATTTTCGAGCGCTTGACCTTCGCTTTTTCCCCGCTCGGCGATGGGGGCTCCGCCCGCAGCCGCGGCGGCGTTTCGCTAGCCGAGCGAGCGCCGGGAATAGAGACTAATGATTTCTCTAGTTCGACGAGATCCGACCTCGCCGACTCGTCTCGGGGTCTACCGTGGGACATGGCCGACCTTCGCCCGCCGCCATTCTTGACCGTCGCGGGGTTCCCGCTCGTGGGAATCATTTTTTCCCCTCCATCGGGTAGATCGGAATCCCGAGACGGTCACGAGCCCGCTGCGACGCCGGACGTCGAGAGGATCAAAGGCCCTCTTTGGAGGTATTTCCTCGCGGGGTTTCGATGCCGCGATGCACACTTCTTTGAGTCGACCAATTTTTATTTTTCTCTCCCTCGGCGTCCGTAATGATTTTGGAAGCGGGGAAAACGCCGCGGAAAGTTCGCCTCGAGCCCCCCTTCCGAGGGGCCGCGACCCAGATCGCTCGTCCGGAGGCAGGATTTTCCGAACGAAAGCGACTCGTTCCAGTTTTCGCGAGAACCAGGTCACCCGAGGGCGGCCGCCGGGACGCGACATTGTTCGGCCGGTACGGATCGCGCGGCGTCCCGACGCCGAACAAAGACGGTCCACCCCTCGGCGCGGCGGCATTGTCTCGCAAAGTGAATCGACGCCGCGCTTAAATCCTCCGCGGCCGAGGCAAATCGGCGGCCTCGCTAGTACCTGGAATTATTGCGGCCGAATGCTCGCGAGCCCCGGTGCCCCGGTGCCACTTAGCCTTAACTCGGAGCCAATCCTTTATGGCCGTTCCCCCTCGAAGGGGCGTGCACGAGCCGTGCCTTTTCGTGCGCCGCTTTTCCCCCTCGTTTCGAAATTTCTGACCGGCAGACACGCGAAATCGACCCTCCTGCGAGTCTTCGCGTTCGGGGGTCGAGAAACTGGGCAGAGTCCCGCGAGGACGACGACTCGCGCGCCTATCGGACGTTTGGACCCTCGTGTCGATATTTTCGCACTGCGCGAAACGGTTCATGGAAATACGCCCTGTTCCTTGAACCAGGGGGAGGGGAGGGACGCCGATGTCGGGAGCCCGAGTACCGCGAATTAAATCCGGCCGATCTCGGGTGGTTAAGCCAAGTCGTACGGTTATTCGAAGAAAGTCTCGTGACTTATGGAACGAGAATTAAGGAGATGCCTATCTCCGTCCCGGATGACGTCTCGCTGGGTCAATCTCGAAACGGTAAGTGGGTTAGCCAGTCGTCGAGCGACGCGATCGCGTACCGGCCGCGTACCGGCCGCGTATTTTTGGAAATCGAGACGCCGAGGGAAAGCGGCTCCGCCATCGACGATAAAAGGAACCGGGTGAAAAGCGCTAAGACACCGGGGAAAAGTCGCCAAGGGGTGGGCGAGCGACTTCGACCGCCTTACAAAACAGCTATAAAGAAATTATCTCGATATTGAAATTTCCACGGGTTTCGGGACCTTTCGCCTAGCCTTCGTATTCGTATCGTCCAGTTTGCGGCGATTCGGTACACCCTGTTCGGAGAAGAGTTTCATAAACGCCACTTTCGCGTCGCCTTAAGTCGCGAGACGCTTCCTTGGCTCCTCGGTTTACGTGTTACACGTATTACCCTCGAAGGGCGGCACGCCGGAAGCCCGATAAAAACCCAGGAACGCCGTTCCGTATCGGGCGGCCGCCGCGACACGCGAGGCCCCACGAGAAACTCCCTGTCGCCGATTTCCACGTAATAAGGAGAGCCGGTAATTCCGCGTCAACGCGGAAAAGAAAGGTCGTTAGAGAAACCCGAGGGGTGGATAAATCGCCCTCGGCTCGCCGGCGACGAGGAAATCCAAGAAATGAAAACCGACTTTGCTCGGTCGCGTCGTTCGGCCGGGAAACGTCATGGCGGCGGTCCGGGTGCTCTCGAAATCACCGCCGGTTGCTTCGCCGGACGTGACGGGAATCCGCGGATTGCCCCGGTCCACTCTCTCGGGGAATCCACTTTTCCCGCAATTTCATAACTCGCGAGAGTCTCGTTGCCGCGTTCACCTCCCTTCTCCCCGTTCCCCCGAATTAACGACGCGTTACGAGGAGGTGCCCATTGACTCCGATCGTTAAGGAATCGCCGTCGATTTCTCGAGAGCCGACCCTCCGACGTCATTTGTATCAATGTCGGACCCTGCCGCCGTCTAACGCGGCCTGTTAAATAACAATTTATATACCCCACGTGTAAAACTCGCGGAATATCGCTCCCTGGCTCGAGTCAACGATCCAAACGCGAGCCTCCCACTTGACGCGCGGAATTATCATTAATAATCCCTTCGAGTTCGCCAGCCGACGGTTGCAACTGCATCGCGGCCGTTACCATTACTCCCTGTCATCGATATTCCGCCATTGTCGTCGTCGGGGAGTGCGAAAGTCTCGGGCACGAACCGCGTTAAATGAGCTAACGTTCGTTGTTACGGTACCCGGTACCAATGAAATATTACATTAATTCAAAGAATAATTGTCTAACTGGGGTAAACTTCTATAAATCGGATGCGACATTTCTTCGAAATTCTGACGATTTAAGGGGCCTGACGGGGTCAGGTCGAGGACTTTTGTCGAATTTAACATTCCGGCGACCGTCGTCCCGCTCGGGGGTGCTTTTTAACGGTCAACGGGGACCCGGTAACATTATAAATACCCCCGGCGGTCGTAAAGCTGCGAGCCACCGAGTCTCGGAGACGGCGCTCTCGGGAACCTCGGGTATTCCTGGTAGCGGCCGCTCTAATTCAGTTCGCGGAACCGAAGGCGCCGCTGATGCCCCGATCGCGAGAAGTCGCTTCTCCGGCCGGGTCAAATTCGTTCCGTGAAATTAACGCGCCCCGGGCCAACGTCGAGGGCCGGGGGGAGGG